AGAGAGAGAGAGAGAGAGGGAGAGAGAGAGAGAAAGAAAGCAAGATTAATTTATTATGTTACTTAGATATGAAAAAAAATGAGATTAATTCATTAATTATATTACTATTCCAGAAAAACACTGATATACATAATAGTTTCTGGGCATGCCAGGTCGGTAAAGATTGCGTTATGCCAGGACTTTACGCAATGGTTGGCGCTGCCGCCGTGCTTGGTGGAGTTACGAGGTCAGTCATTACGACAAAAAGTATTATTTAATTGATTTAATAAAATATCTTGACTTCTAATTTAATTTTGAAATGCGAAAAGCTAGATCTTTGATCTGGAGAGAAGTTAATTTGATGCAGAGACATGTATGTCGCAAAAATTTCTTCGTTTTTCTCTACATATTCTCTAGAATGTGCATTTATTTTTATGAACAGAAGCTCATTTGTTTGGAGTTTCTCTTATATTAAGAGTTTACTGTATGTTAAGAATGACCGTGTCATTGGTTGTGATTATGTTCGAACTGACAGGGAGTTTGGAATTTATCGTACCTACTATGGTTGCTACCATGTTTGCAAAGTGGATTGGTGATGCATTTTATAAGATGGTAATTTCATTATGCTGGCATTGTCGAAGCAGTTTTATTCACTAATTTTTACGTTTATTAACATGTCAATAACAAATGATTATTGCAGGGAATACCTAAGGTGTTCAGTGTTATTTAATGCTTAACATTCTTAGCTTGATCGGTTATTTTTGATCTTTCACACTATTGTTTTGTGAATGAACGTTTTTCAGGGTATATATGATGCTCACATAGATCTAAATGGCTATCCATTTTTGGACAACAAGGGCGAATATCCATATTCTACTGTTGCTATACAAGTAATGAAGCCTGGACCTGGTACACATAAATGTTAACGTTTGTTGTGCCAGTCGATAGTGGTTCAAACTTAAACTGATATGTGAAAGAATTTTTTAATCTGAAAAATTTTTATTTAAACGTTTTCTGATATGCAAAGTTATTTATAGTCTTGTCGAAAAACAGATAAAATTATATTTTTCTTTACATGTGAGATGGTGGAACATTGCGAGTGATCACTCAGGATACAATGACAGTTGGTGATATCGAAGTTTTACTACGTGAAACTAGCTATAATGGTTTTCCAGTCGTTATAAGTGAAGAAAATTTGTATTTAGTGGGGTTTTGTACGCGGTTAGTATTTTAAGAATGTACGAAACGTTTTATGTATGGGTATTATTTGTACTGTTTGTAATTTTAGACGCGATTTACAACTTGCTCTTCATTCTGCTCGTAAATCACAACCATACATTGTAACCAATTCAGTCGTCTATTTTTCTGCAAATGTGCCAGAAGCAGTAAATGGTGATCCCGCACCTTTACGTTTACGCAAACTAATAGATTTGGTAGTTATATTTTTTTCATAGTTGATGCAACCCGTAATAAATAACCCCAGATTCATTTACATCATTTCTTTCTTACATCGGACACTACTTTTTGGATTTATGTAGGCTTCGTCAGTTTTATGCGGTCATTATATATTTTGAGTTTTGAGAAACCAAGGGAAGAAACAAAGTAATGGTGCATTAACATCTGAATTATAAAAAACTTGTTGATTTGAATTGTTCCAATAATTTTTTTTTTAAATTAGGCACCGATGACTGTAACAGATCAAACACCGATGGAGACGGTAATTGACATGTTCCGCAAACTTGGATTGAGGCAAGTGCTAGTGACACGAAATGGTCGTCTTCTGGGAATAATCACCAAAAAGGATATCCTTCATTTCATGAAAATCGGTGACGTCGTTGAAAACTATTCTTTTTAAATCGTTTCCTTCAATTTGAAATTTATGTTTCTTCCTACTGCGGTTGCATATTTTGTTCTATCTTGCTTCATTGTTGCTATTTTGAAAGCTGTAGAAATGTCATCTTCTGACTGTTCTATTTTTCAACTGTTTGATTATTGTATTAGTTTTATTGCGTATATATTAACATCAATATTGGCATAAATTTAAATTCGTGATTAAATGTTGCAGAGATAACTCCAGCATTAGCAGCAAGTTTTTGCTTAATTTCCAATATCGATTTTGAAGGCATTTTTTTTTTGAATAGAATTAATTTTTTTTAAGGTGTTAAATTTTTTTCATCATCTAGAAATGAGGAGTAATATTCGTAAATTAAAGTTAATGAGGAGGAACATCATTTTTCGATTCTCGTAATTCGTCTTCTCATTCTGACGGTCTTGAAATCACAGAACGGCATATTCAATACTATCTTCTATGCCTTGTTTTTAAGTGCATGTTTGTTTTTTATTCACTCGTCGCTTAGTTGTTTCTACTCGTAATATCGCGGGTAATGTTTATCATTTTTTAAGTTTCTATCTTTTGCCTTTCGTGATCTATTTTTAGGAATTTTTTCATATTCGTTAACTGGTTTGTTCGTTTAGTCTAATAATGGAACAGTATTTTGAGATCTGGGTTTTTTAAATTCTGTCTTTTTTTTCCTTGTGTGGTTGGTTTTATTCTTTTATTTGTTATGTTACCAAGTCATACGATTGCGTGGAGAATATTTTATAATTTATTTTGGTTAGATTTTTATACATCAAAAAACATTGGTATTTTTTCAAGCCTTATTTTGCATGTAGTTGATGACGTTTGATTTTCTGGGATGATTTTTCCACTCTGTATAGTGAACAATAAAATTTTAGTGATTGATTAGTGGCTATGAATTAATGAGTCACATTATGAAGTTTAGATCAGTTTAAATCGTGTATGTAGTGGATTCGTCATTCTCTAGAATTTGTACAGTTATTTTTTTAACTGAGAGATGTTGAGGGAGTTGTTTCTGTTTATTTTGAATTGTTTACTGATGTGGTGTCGATTCATGCGAGCTAGTTTGCATCCTTTAAGTGATTGAAATGTGTAGAAAATTATATTAGTTTTCAAAGAGTTCATTAGCTGCTAGAAAGCTGGTTTGGTACGTAAAGCTAAAGAGGTTAGGGAATTTGCCAGTTTCTAGGTCTTCTGTAAATTAGGATTGGAAAATCAAGCCTTGTGACAGTTTGTTCATATTTCAGTTAGTAAGTTCAATCACTTCTGTATCTTTTTTGATCTATATCGGCGTATCTCACTGATGTTTTTTTTTGGAAGGTCGTTCTGCAAACTGGAATTCTTTTACACAATATCTGCTTGCTTTATCACTCAGATTCATGTTTGAATATTCTTGGCCATGAAATTTGTTGTATCACTTTCCTATTTATACTTCAAAAAAGTGAATGCTGCAAAAAAAGTGCTTGGTTTTAATGAAAATTTAGCACAGTAATTTTTTAAGGGTTATATTGGCCGATCTAGTGAGTTCTGAACGTAAATGATTTACTAGAATGCGTGGCTACGGTATCTCAGTGCTGCCATTAACGGCTGGTTGTCGAAAGGATATCGAAAATTTGCTGAAAATGTACAAAGAAAAAAAAACATTGCGATATGAACCATTCATCGATTTATTCGAAAGATCTAAATTCTTTACAATATTCACTGGTCGCATGAGCCCTGCAGATCTTTTTGAAGTATGCTTCCATTTTGTTAGTTTTCTGAATTTTCGGTGGATTTAAATTTTTAAAAAGTGAATTATTAAAAATTATAAATAAGAAAGATACGAAGTATGGGTTATGTAAATTAAATGAAGAATCCAGTTACGAGTTAAAATGTTTGATAGTCCACGGTTTCAGTTCAGTGAGAAGTTACTTCAATTGTCGATATCGTATGCTATGTCCTACCGTGAACGTAAGTCAATGGATTATATTGATGAATCTGCATTTGAAGACAGCGTTTCATTTCCTGATATGCAATTCAATAGTGAAATAACCTTACAGGTGAACATTTGGAAAGAGATGAAAGCCTCTTGGTAATGATTATTGACTACTAGATGAAAACCATTAATATTTTTTTTGATATTGATAAATTTAGCTTCAAAGGCTTATAATTTCACTCAGTCTATCATTCATTTGGCTGTTTAAGTTTTGAATATATGTCTGGACTACTGTCAGTTATAATCTCATCCTTAATTTTGATCAGTTTTTTAGGAACGATTATTCGGCATATATCTAACTTACACCTTATATTTCGTGCAACCTGATAGTTATGTAGCTCAAGTGCGGATCACTCCTAATCAGATGACTGATCTGATTTGTTTTCTCAATGAGCGTTTGATTCCGGAATATCATGTTGATGCTTTTGTTGCTCTTTTCAAGTTGGTCAATGGAGGAGCATTTCGTTTATACGCTTTTGAGAAGGAGGTCAGTTATACATAATGCATAATAACTTTCGAACCACCATGGTTTATTTTTTTACTTATCAAACGTAAATATTCTAAATTCATATTGCAAGATAAATCAAATGTAAGTACTACACACAATATCTAATAATCTGATCTTGATTATTGTTTATTAAAAAATTACTTATGGAAAGTTTTGTAGAGTAATGGTTTTAACTGATGGCGCACCAAAGTAATTTTATTCGAAATAATTATGCTTGAAATTAAGATTTGAAACTTTCGGCGGCAAAAAGCTTGTGGGCACAAATTTAATAATAGCGTTGTAGCACAATCCACTGCTCCATCGTAGCTTTGATTTGCTTGAGCAAGACTGCAGTGATTCCGATGAAACAGAAATGGAAGAATATAGTATCCTAAAAGGGCTCAGAGATGATGTCATTTTAGCTCAGGCAAACATTATCTGTAATAGGTTTGCCTTTTATATTGTATTTTATTCTAGAATCTTTTTTTATGTGGTTTGGAATAGGATGCTGTTCATAAAAAAAGTTTCCATGATTAATCAGTTCAATGCATAGTCAGTCAAATTTTCAGATATTTAGATGCAAAGGAAAAAGCTAATCTTAGTCCCAAGTTAAGCATAAATCTAGTCAGCACAACGGTATCAGAGATATATAATGAGTAAGTGTTTAAAAGTTTTTTTATTGCAAAGGATTTTTGTTTATAATAAGATGTATTGATAAATTTATGGTGAAAAGATTTCAAACATAAATTGTTTACTTTCTTAATTTAAAACTTTTTAATACTGCCATTGTCTTCTTGAAACTGAAACTACTAGTAGTTTTTCAAAATTCGTAAAATTAGTCTGATAAAGCGAAGTAGTCTGAATCACGACAAACTCTTCTACTATTCCATAACATAGTTTACGCTTTTGTATATTTTAATTTTCATGGAAATGATAATTTTTAAAACGTCGATGAATCTTTGTAAATTACAGTATTTTGAAAAATACGGACATGGGGCTTGAAGAAAGTCGTTTTTCAAAAAGAAGCACGCATTACAGTGGAGTAAGTGACTTCGATTTCAGTTTATCTTTGGTTTTATAAGTGTTAACTTGAGAAAGACTGCGAACACACAATAAACTAATATCTTTTCGTGTAATAAGCACCATAATATAAATCTTTAAAGTCAGTTATGTTCAGTATAAACAACGTTATTTTGATGTGTCTCCTGCTGTACAAGGTTTAAAACAGAAAATAAGGATGCCAGTACAGCAGGTTCGGTTTTGATCAGGTTTTTGATATGTTTTGCATGTTAAAAACAAACTAAAGTTAATCTCGTTGTCCTGATCCATCAAAATAATATTAGGTTGTAAAAGGTTACGTGTTATAAAAATCATACCAAAATACAAAATCAGAGGTTAAGAGTCCAGTTGTTTATTTCAAATCACAGGAATATTTCAGAAAAGGCCTAAATGGGGAATGGATTCACCGCCGAAAAGTAAAATACGTACGAGTAGGAGGAAACGTGGAAGGTATTGTCTTTTTTTCTGGCAGTTCTAGACTGCTGTTTCAGAAAACATCGTGTATAACGATAGGACTGATTTTTTATCATAATTGATATTTTTTTGAAATCACTGTGCAAACCGGTGTACTTGAATGTAATTTTGTTGGCAGTTGTAATGTTGAAGAGAAGTTATGTTCCACCTAGCTGCTATTTCAGGAGCAAAACTTCGACCTATGAAATGGAATATGGTGATTTCGCAGTAAATGTTGCTGCTAAGAAAAGTTAGTTTGAATATTTTCATTTCACTGAAGCATCAGAGTTTATTTTAGTAATTCATGAGATGAATTTCAGGAGTGAAAGATAGAAGAGAAAAAATCGCAGATCGTTTGTTGGACAAGATTCAAAAAGCCCATAAAATAAAATAAGCAGTGGTAATTGGCAAATGATGTACGAAAATGCATTTATGATTGCTTTTTCTTGTTTGCATTCTAATTAGTATAATTATAAGATCTCACTGACTAGTAAGTTTCAATTTTTTAGTAATAATAAATGCATAATATAATTTTTTATAATTGGTTATCTAAGATAACAGTTATAAAGAGGGTTTCACTGTAATTATAGCTGCGTAACGCATAATTTATAGTTTGAGTTGGAAACGAAAGAGAAGGAATAACTATATAATTCGATTAAGATCTTTATAAATGCGAAACTTTTTATATGTTATCTTACTGATAATGTCATTTATTGTATAATTATTCTTATTATTACTGCAATCATTATGTATATGCTACTAAGATCATTAATATATCACTAATACTTTCTAATATTATTGAAGTGGCTACTTTTATCAGTAAACTTATTGCTTTTGTTCTCATAATTGTTATCATCATAATAATGATAACAGTTACTATTATTGTTTGTTATAGTTATTAACATTATTATATTATTACTGTCACTATTTTATTATCATTATTACTTTCATTACTAGTATTATTATTTTGATTATTAGTAGTGTTCTTGCAACTGTTATTGTTATTTACCATAATGTTATTGTTATTATTGTCAATAATTAAAGAGTTCAAATTGAAAACAATAAGTAAAACAAGAAGTAGTGTAACGGGAAGTCTAACAAAAGTGAGAAATGACGAAATATTCAACATCAATGGAGGAGTGAAACAATAAAACGTAAGCAAATAAGTGATGAAGAAATAATAACAGACAACAAACACCTAGTGCGATTGGTTAAAATGTTTGTGCTAGTTGGCTATACTCAGGCATTATTTTGAAATACCTATACATTTTCCTTATTACCCTCACTGTCTCGTGCTCTCACTTTCTCACTCCTTCACTTACTAATCTGATTCTTTATTCTTTCATTTATTTATCTATTTATTCATTTAAATGCTTTAATGCTGATCGTTAGAATCTCTAGCAGCATTATCGATGAATACTGATTTCTCGGCGAAACAATCAATATCAGAAGGACAATCAGTAATGATCACTGCAAACAAATGCTTCTACGATTGAAAGTGCTTCAATTTTTTCCAATACAATATAGAACTGTGCCAAGTGACGACATATTTTTATCTCTTAAAATTGCTTAAATTTATTTTTTTAACTTTGCTCAATTTCTTATTTTTATTCATTACAATTGAATATAAATGATGGCATTGTGTTTGATTTCTTTCAACTTTTTTCAATAAAAATTTGTGTCTAGCATTTTATGTGAAGTTAAAGTGTTACTGTTCAGTGTTACTGTTCGAAAAGTGCTGAAATATGCACTTAGTAAATAAACAAAATTGCTGATAAAGAACTTACGTAGTGAGTAATTTATTTGCATAGATTTCTAATTTCGAAAAAAAAAAGACAGTTTTTCAATTTGCGCGCTACTTTTTGCTGTATGAATATGCAACTGCTTTTTGAGAGTTTTTTTTTTAACATTTTTCAAAAGCAAGCATAGTTTTTTTATTTTATGTCTCACATATTTTGGCTACTGTTTTATTCATGAAGAGTTCCGAATAGTAAGATCAATCTAAATTTATATCCAAAATACGCTAGCCAGTTTTTGATCCTATTTATAGCTCATTTTTTTACTTTTTTTATTCACAGAGATATGAAAAGTGAAACCATTTGTTGATGAAAAAATGCGGCGCATATAGTTGTAAATATTATCTTTATTAATGCATGAAAAATGCTGCATTAAATTAGTTTAGAGATTTATTTTAGATAAAATTATACTTAGTCGTAAATTTGCACTTTTGAGATGCTGACCCAAATAATAGAATGATCGATTTAAACATTGACTATGATTTTCGAAATGGCCATTATTATTTTACATCTTAAAATTAAGCATGATTAAAGTAGTTTAAGATGTGTGTCATTCAACTTTCCCTTAATTATTTATTCATTGCAAACTTTAACTCTCATAGTTCTGCATGAAAATGAAAATCCCTTAATATGAGAATTACTTTTTCCCTTACCAATGGTCCAATTTTTTTCATTGCTTTATTTATTATATCAACAAAAATTCCTTTTGTTCTTCTGAGAGAATGTAATCATTCCAATTAGAAATTTCGTAAGAGTATTTTTGACATTTTTATCCAAGTTTTGAAATTATAATCAAATTATTAATACTTCAGTATTATTTGCATTCATAATGAATTTTATTATCGAGTAACAAGTTCATGATCTGTAAACAATTAAAGCTAATAATAACTTCACTGTAATGATAGTTTCATTTTTTTTAAATGAACAGAATTGTTTATTCCAAAAACAATGGGCAAATCACCATCTTACTGATTGTATTATTATATACATTGAATTTATTAAGCTGTACGAGCTCTTTTGCATTATAGGATGAAATATGTATAACATTATTTCTTCATGGATTATTAAATTATTGTAATGATCTTGGATTTATCAGTTCTTCATATTTACTTTAAATACTTATGCAAATGTGAAACAGAATTTATACGTTTTTCTGCATCTTCTTTCTTACTTTTAGCAGCTGCTTTTACTTGCTTATAATCGCACATTTTTTCAAGCTGAAACAGAGTGGAAAAATTTTTCTAACACAATGTCTTTTCCTATTTTGTTTGCAAGAGATGTTTGCTTACTCTTCCTACAGATGGAACGAGCATCATTTCATTGTAAGCAACTTTTGTCATTATGATTTTGATATAATAATAGATTTTTTGTAGCTTAAATCTTACATGAAAACCTTAGAGAGATTTATCTAATTTTCAGAATCTTTCAGCCATGATTTAACAATTTAAATTATATTAGCATAATTGTCTCTCTATCCATGATCGAACGTTGATGTATTGAATTAATTATATAATTAGGTTGTGATAATTGAACTAAATCAATATTAATAGTTTTCTAAAACAAAACTGCTTCTCATTGGGACAAAAATCTTCAGCAAATTAAATTTTCTCTGAAAAATTTCCTACGTATTTATGAGTGTAATTTTATAGAGTTTGAAATTTAATCTTAATTTAATTAGTTTGAATTTTAATCAGTTTTTTTAATCTTCTTTTTCAGATAAAAAAGACAAGTACACATCTAATAAATATATTTGAATTAATCTCATATAAAATGAAATGACTAATATTTGTAAGAAAAGTGAATAAACATTTGTGAAAATATGAAAAGATGAACAAACAATAGTCAGAAAGAAGTATTGTTTTGTTTCCATATATATGGGTATTGATCTTGAGCTTCACTTTAAAGTTTGACCGGTTTTATAATGTTAGGTAGCCTAGAAATGAAAACCAAAGTTAAGAAATTTGACCTCATGAATGATTATTTCATTTCTTTTTTCCTGTCATTCGGTTCTTTTACTTCCGCTCATTTCATTTTTCAATCCAAAAATTGCTTAAAGTTTTATTTTCAGTTTCACTCTGATTCTCCTATTTTTTACTTCTTTTTTTTACAAACTCTTCAATTAATAAACTCTGAACCAAGACTACTTCTTATGGCTATGAAAATTTTCATCAAATATTAAATAATTTTAATATATATAACGATTTTTCATTATATTTTTAGATAATGAGCAGTTGGAATGTCATAATTTGTCTTCGTAACGCTACTTAGAATCATGAATTAGTTTTCGCTTTTTTCATTTTAATTTTTTAATATTGTTAAAGTGAAAGCATAAAAGTAAAAAATCTATTTTGTAAATACTGCCATCTGTTTGAAATGCCAAACGCTTTCTTTTTGATTATTACTAAAATTTTGGCGCAGTTAGAATTCTTTTAATAACTAAAGACTTGAACATATTTCATTTTTTGTCATTCCCAGATTTTTGAAAAACTTGGCCTTCATAAGTTCAACTCACCAAGCTAATAAGTGACGGAAAAAATTAATACATTCGAATTTTTTTGAAAGTCATTCGAAAATATCTAGTCTTTGCTGCTAAGCATTTTCAAAACGATCAACGATAACCATATATAGAAAAAATAAGTAAAATCCGCCCTTTGGTGATTGAGAGATCAAAAGGATTATTTGTTGTTTAGTAGAAAAAACATTACTTGCTTTACATTTTTTCATCGTTGTGTGGAAAATTAATTTCATTTGTGTTCAATTCAATATAATACACTACTTCAATTAGCTTATTTGCTGACATTACAGCAACAAAATAACTATACTATTATGTTTTGTTCTCAACAATCTAATGCATTATTAAGTTTTTCTCTAATTTTCATTTTTGTTCCAGCAAAATGACTTGTTTTCATTGCATAATTTTAGCCGTTCCTGCACAGTTTATTTATCTTCTAATATTTTCAGCCTATCCATCTTAAGATATTATTATTTTACTACTTCTGTTGACTGCTACCGCTAATTATTTGCTGTGAGGAGAAACCTTGCATTATAAACATTCTAACCAAGGAGTTATATAATCTCTGCAGAGTTCATTTCGAAGGAATTTCGTTTCCTTTGTTAGAAATTTATTTAATTTTGAATTTATTTTGATCAAACGAAGCTATCGAAAAATGATTATAAGTAGAGGGATTTTGCTATTTTTACTAGCACTTGTTCATTATGATAAAGAAAGATGAACAGTTGCATTTATTATTATTATTGTTCTTGACAAAAAGCATAAATTAAGGTAAATTGTAATTTTCATTGTAAAAATATGTTCATTATTTTTTCGCAGTTTATTTCATTTTTTCACAAGTTTTAATAGAGTGTGCTATTTAGACTGAAATTAATGAATAATGATTGTTCAAGCAAGGTAATGATAAGAATAACAATAAGAGAATACTTTTTTAAATATTTTCACTTTAATTTTGAGAGAGAAAAAGACTTGACTATTTTAAAATAATATTTAATATTGTAGCCAAAAGCTAACCTTATTCCTTTTTCCTTTCGCAATTATTGATATCTTGAAAGCAAAGTTTATTCTTTTCATATTTTGCAAGATATTCAAAAAGAGAATAAAATTTGTGCTCTGTATTTCATGAATGAAACCATTAGTAATTTGATAGATAACAATAGCTTAAATGCTTTGGGTCTTATTGAAAGCTTAATAATAATGCTTCAGGAGTCTTACTTTAAATTTTTGGATACACAGTAATATGTTTTATTATGATTTAATTCATATTATTCTACCGCTCATTATTGCTCATACTCGAAAGTTAAACTAAGTTATCAGGTCTTTATTTGAAAAGTGTTGTCCTGCAGTAAGTAGTAGTCAACAATAAATTGTATGAAAATGACACATCAAAATTTGCTGCCTAATATATAGTCAATTTTATGAAAAAAAGAAGCAGTCTTGAAAATGCTTAATTGCTTTTTTTTCCTTATTCTCAGGTTGTTGAACTTAGAACCTTAATCAGTATATCCAAAGCATATCGATACCAATGGAAAGCAGTCAAGGGCAAAACGTTCAGTTCATACCTGTGAATAAACCTTTACGACGTGTTCAGGTTTCATTTATATAATTATGTATTTATATTAATGAAAATTTTCTCTAACCATTCTCTTGCTTGTTATAAAATGACCATATTAAGGTTTTTCTAATAATTCTGATTTTTAACTTTCTATCACCGTCATTAAATTACTTGCAGAAAAGAAATATCAATGACAAATTTATTTTATAATTGATTTGGATAAAAGGCCTGTTTCATTAGATCCCAAATAAACTTTTTATTCAAACATGATCGAAATTTTTGTTAAAATATATGCAATTCTTCTAATGATACTATCAAAAATGAAAAGTAATTCAAAAGTTTTTAAAAAATTTGCAAATTTTGCTTTTTGGTAGCATAATGGCGAGTACATTAATTTACTGCTAATTACAAAAAGTGTGCCGAAATATCATATGTTGTTCTTTGAAATATTTTAGCTAGCAACTTCCTCCAAATTGTTTGCTTTCGGATATAAAAATTTATGAAGAATTTGGTAATATTTTTATCATTTTTACTGATTTATAGATTATTTTGCTACTGTTATATTAGGCATACCAGCAAAATAGTGAATGTTTATCATACTAAAAGATTTTCTGGCTTTAATTGAATAAATCCAAGAAGTGTTACTAATTAGATTTATTTGTGATTGCACATTCATGCAGTTTTATGACAGAGCTTTAATTCTTAAGGCGAGTAGTAAATAAAGGCAGTATAGAGGTAGTTGTGGTTGTTATGATATTATGACTAATGATATGACTGTGCAATTTGGTGAACTTTAATTATGCAATTTAAAAGAAACTATAATATGGAAAAAGTGTGGGAAAAAATTTTGATTTCAAGCATTCTTTAAACGAGATATAATAAAAGGATAGAGAATTCATGCAACGATTTCAATTTTTTTTTGCATGTCAAATGAATTTATTGAGACTACTTGTAATCATTTCAATCCAAATTTGTTTTTAAAAAAGTAAAATAGTATGTATGAAAATGCATGTTTAGATTGAGTCATGTCCAGTTGAATCAGTATATGATCTACGTGAAGATGATGAATCTGATGTTTACGATGATGCAAGAGCATTCCGTCGACCTCGTTCTAACAGCTCCGTTTGTTATTACATCTGGTTCTTTATAATTTTTAGTATTTGAGCAGTTTTAATGAACGAATGTTGTGACTAACGAGAAATGATAAAACTAAATATTACTAAAGCAAAAATTTAATCTGAAAATTAATTTAAAGCACTTATCATTTTATAGAAATCTAAATTGAATAGTGAAATGTCCAATTTTCTTTCTAATTCTTTCTAATAAGATAATAAATTGTTGAGTTAATTAATGCATGAATGATGCTATTATTATTTTTACCCGTTTTAAAAAAAATTCTCATATTTAACACCAAAAATTTTCTTCTTCGTTTTATTTATATTGATAACTTAATATTATTTATTTACACTGACCAGCATTTCAGGATTTTTTGATCTTACGCAAGACATCACGTCCCGTATCAGTTGATGTTGTTGGTTTTTTAGGTCTGCTTAATATATGAAATAATATAGCTAAATATTATAAATGAAGCTCTTAATTCCATTTCATTTATTTCGTTCTTAATCTTTTCATTTTCAGATAATCATTCTGATCCTTACAAGCAATATATGGAAGTAGTCGACTGCTATGAACTTGCACCTCATGCTGGCCGAGTAATTTTGATAGATAGTAAAATGACAGTAAGTTGCTACTTATTGCTTGTTGTTGACACACATTATTATGACATCATTACGATCATGAAAATTTTAAATTTAGAAGATTTTACTTTCTAAAAAAATTGAATTTGATTTTGTGATTTTTCCAGAGCACTCGAAATTATGAGTAGCTTCTCATAAAAATCACTGAGTTATATTTTTCATCACTGGCAATCAGCATACTTTTTTAAAACATGTCAAAACTGTAAAAAAAATCGCATAATGAAATAAATTTCAAGATCCATACCATTTCTGAATATCACGCACCATTTCTTAATATCATGCATCAGTTAGTTAATCAAATAAATTAATAAAACTGAATCTAGCAGTTTGCTACTGCTAGATTTAACTAGTGAAAGAGGTTTCCATAAAGATCACTTGTCAAGTTAATTACTGTTTTTGGCTGAGTTTAAATTTTTTGTCCCAGTACTGTCTCATTTTTGCATAGCATTTTAAAAATGAATGAGTAAATTGTATTATAGCAACAGATTTTACTAACAAATATGCATACTAATATATCGTAAATACAATAAGATTAATTTATCTTCTGCATTTTGAATAAATGTTTAATGATTTCAAGAATTTTCAAAGATATTTCGTATTGTTACTGAATGAATTGATTCAACATATCTGGAAAAGATTTTAGCTACAGCAAGCGTATAAAGTTTTCATTGAATGGAACATCAGTTCAGCAGTTGTGTGGTGTAGCAAACTTGAACGTGTCACTGCTGTACTCAGTCTAACTGATTTTCTTGTCTCACTTTTCTCAGATGATAACAAAGAATCAGTAAGTGTTGAAGAAACTGTCTCAGGTAAAAACCTTGTCTGGCTCGACTCTTCTTGCAAGTTAGCCTTTCACTTCAAATTTTACTATTTATTTTATTAACTTTTACGTAAAGAAAGTTGCATAGTCTAGTAAATATATTTATGCGCCAAATCCATTTCATATTTCGTTTGAAGAAGCAAAATATTTAAGCTTTTTTTGTTCTAAATTTTAAATATTACAAACTAGAAAATTTTTTATCTCAAAAATGCATCTATGAGAGATTGAGTATTAATATTTAATTCTTTTTGATTTAAGTGATGTCTGTGTTACATAACTGTCAATATTGACTTAATCACTTTTGACTTCAGTATACAAATGAAGCTTTCATACTTGAATAGAAAGAGTTTAAGGTTGCTGGAAGCTTGTTATGAATTTTTCTCCAGTCGCGTTCGTCGCGTAGTTATAGCCTCTGACCATTCTGGTGATGTACTTTTTTTACTTACTATTAAGCGTGTTTTGCAAGCAGTTCATAAACAGGTACTTTGTTTAAATCCCGTGAAATAGGTTTTCATTAAATTGTTTACTAATATTATAATGAAAAAAAAAACTGCTTGAATAAAAGTGCGTAAAAAAGACTTTTCAGATAATTTAATTTATTTGTTTTCACAAAGGAATTCAATTCAAATGTAATGAGAAATAAGAAGTACAAAAATGTAGTGATTTCAGAATCGGTCTTTGCATTTTGCCTCTTGGCTTAATTGGGAGATCAAAAAATCGAAGATAGGCACATGGAAAAATTTGCATACAGTAACTGTTTGCTATATTTCTTTCCATTAAATAGGACAAAATGATTGCCTTAATGACTACAATTTGTTCATCATTTCTTCTTTTCGCATGATTAAGTAAAACTCCTGTTTATTTATTTATTTTTTTTGTAATTATCAGTGGAATCGAAGCAACTGTTTAATAATTGATTCAAGTGAAATAAAATACAAACAGATGACTTGAAATTTAAGAAATATTTGTAAGCTACTGTTTCTTAGAAATAATTCGTAGTACTTGAGTGGCAATCAGATGAACTGGTTAAGTAATTAATGAAGATGATTAACTTTTTAATTATTCTTTCAAATTTAGCATTTTTTACTACCAAGTTTAAAGATTGCTTTTGCATATTTCCCTGTATTCATTTCATTATTTTTATAAAATCTCTTTGGAATTTTGATCATCATGATTTTTCTCATTGAGATTAATGAAACGAATAATTTGGAAACAGCAGCTCGGAAAATGCTTGAGCATGACATTTCCAGTCTTCCCATACTTAATACAAATAACTATCCTGTGGATGTGTTAACTAAAACAGACATCGCTTATGCTTTAGCGAACGCTAAAAATTTTAAGGTAAGGAAAATAATTGTAACCAATTTCTTAAAAAAGTTAAATCACTAATAATTTTTCTGACGAATTTTTAAAATATATAGTCAGAAGTACTAGAATGCAACTTCTTCCTGGCTATATACGGATAAGCGAATAATAAAGATTTGACATGACGAATTATTTAATTAATTAGTTAATTACAACAGCATAATGGGGAATTTATTTATATCTTGTCTCTAGAAACTCCGTTCAAAGTCACGACTGTTACTGTTATTTCAAACGAAGAAGAATTTATTTCAATGATTTGACAGAAGGACTGACTAGTGATTTATTCTTTTTGTTCAGCATTAGCATCAGCATCAGCATCAGCTTGAATGTACTGAAATAGCATTGTAATCATGTAGTATTTGTATGACGCAGAATATAAAATGTCCAGTCCATTTTTCCCTTGTCCATTTTTCCCTTGTCCATTTTTCCCTTGATGTTCTTTTCATTAGTTAATGTTATTTTTGAGCACATAAATTGGGCACTTTGTTTATTGCAGGAACAATGTCGGAAATTGACTGCAATTGATGTAGTCAGAAATAGACAACCAATGCGATTTCTCTATGAAACGAATAATGTGAACCAAATTCTTGATTTTGCTCTAAGTCGCAAAGACTGTCAATGTGTTTTTGTTACTAGTCCTACAAGTGGACAGTTAACTGGAGCCATATCTTTGTCCGATTTCATGGCATACATCCTTAACAACGGTCCTGCTCCCGTCAGTGAAAAATGGAAGTCAAATCATCAATGAATCATGTGATTGTGAACTTACTACTGCTTATGTTTGCTCCTGTCACGGGTAAAAAGTTGTATTTCTTGACTGACAATCAGCAATCGGATTCATCACCCCTTATGACACATAAAACCCAAATCTCCTCGCATCTTCCAATGAATGTAATTCTTTCCTTCTGAAAAATTTGACTACTTAAATGCAGCAGAAACTGCTGTACAATAAGCCGGCTCTCACACAGTCTAAATAATTTCTCAGTCGCAACCTTACAACTGCTCGCTACTTTTGCTCATGATAAATACTTCAATTACGTCGCGTACTTCCACTTTGCTCCCCTTATCGTACCACACTGCATTTATACTTCTAAATGTTACACTTCCAACATGTCTAGAAGCAGTTCATCTCTTCTGCTCTATACCAATTTAAAAAAAAAAAAATTTTAAACCACTACCTTCTATCCTCCACTTCTCCCTTCAATCAGTAAGGTCATAAATGTGACATACACCAATACGACGCCCTTACAACACTCAACTTCCTCACTTATAGAAGGCTGGGTTCCCAAACTTTGCCCATAGTAGTGCAAGAACCACGTAAGCCACCTCATATGAAATGAACCACCCCAGCCAAAGGAATGGAGGCATCCAATTAACTTTGGCCAGACTTGCAAGCACTTCATCTACAAAATAAAACAGGAAACTATCCAGAACACTAGCATTACATGTTTCCGACACTCTCAATTCTAAATTTAACCTCCACCAAACAACAGATTTAATTCCACTCACGAACTTGCTTTCTTCTGCTTGAAAAAGATGTCCCAAGACAAAAGTCACTCAATTTTATATTAAAACAAAACAACATATTTAAAATAAAAACTGATACAGTTAAAAAACAACATCTGCAATCTATGAGCATGCTCAAATTTTATGTTGCAATGCGATAAACTGAATCATCCTGTCTTCATCAAGTAAAAAAATAGCCCTCAAATTTTCAATAATTCATAGCCCTATATTATATTAGAATAATAGACTAACGAAATTTAATGTAATTCTAAACGGTGTCTATAAATAGCATCGTTTTGCTTACACGCTATTACATTAATGATGAAGAGCAAAAGGGTTAAATTCAACATCCACAAAATCGAGATTTTTTCAATATTTCTTCAGTATCCAAATTGTCAAACTCAGCAACAATTAATGACTCCCAAGTGCTGGAAATGCGTCAGCAGACACTTCAAACACTTGGTTTGGCTTAAAGTTTCGCCCTTGTTCATTATACGTGCCACGTCCACTCGCAAAACCATCTCTCACACGGTTGCCGCGACTGCCACGTTGATCATCTGCGAAATTAATCTCAATGTCAAGCCGCTTTGTACGTGGTTCGCGACGCTGAAATGATACCAAATTATTGTTTGCAATAAGTCAACGCCTTAACTCTTTGCTAGTAAATAACAAAGCGACCAAGAAAGTGACAAAAACATACTACTACAACGATCTCCTCTTCACAATTCTCCTCCATTACAGGCTTATTGAGCGGAACAAGCTTGCCAAAATCCTTATCATTTGTGCCTTCACCAGCCTGGCGTATATTGAAATGAGGTTTTGAACGTTTGGCAGCAATTTTCGCCTTGAACTCATCTAGAGTCAGTTGTTTCGCTCGCTCATCTGCTTCGGCATCAAGACGAAATTCATCAACCCTTTCACGCTGCACTGCATCATCTGTCTTTCCTACGCCTAGGAAATATGCTTGCACTACTAACTGGCAAATTTTCAAAAAAATCAGCAAGATTATTTTCTCCGGCTAGAGAAATGCAAATATTAGATGTGAATTTCTCAACTAAACGGAGCCATGCAATATTCCACTCCACTGATACATATGATATAAAAAACTAAAAAACCCGATTATACTAAACCACTATAAACAACATACAAAATACCATTAGTGAAGTCAATCGGCTCATTTTGCCCCACTAAATCATCATGCTCAGTTCCCCAGTTAGCTTTACCGAAACCACTTTTCTTATCCAGTGACTTAAGACCGGTACGATCTGATCCGCTCATCCGATCAAACTGGCGACCACCTCGACCTCGTCCCCCACGAAAAGCAGGTCGTTCAAATTCACGATCTATACCCCCACGATAACCACCTCGTCCGCCACGATATGAACCACGCGGCGGTCCAGAATCTGAAATTAAAGTCAGGGTTTAAATGTGCGACTAAAGTTCATCTCCCCATGCACTATTAATTGTATCTATTAATGTCCTGTAATTAATACACTATTATCAACCTGTTATATTCTGACGTTCGCTACCAAAATGATTGTGATTTCCATTACCATTCAATTCATTATGAGAGTCAACCGCAGTCAATTCATGGTCTCGATCCAAATTTCTCGTACCATTTCGCCCACCACGACTAGAATGATCAACTACAACATTGATAAGAAGTTACAGATACGAATGCACCAAGATTTGAAATCACTAATACCTGGCAGAGAAAATGGAGGAATTTATCCATCTCACACAATTTATGACATGAATAAAATCACTTACGGAAAAGGTCTTCCTCTTCCTCCACGACCACGTCCTCGACCCCTCCCTTCACCAAATCTTTCGGCGATAACATCTCGCTCGCTGTTCTACAAAGTATTAATTACAATTGAAAAACGTGCAATAAAAGTGAGTCTTCAAACAGAAAACTAAATTCTGTATCTTGATACAGATATGAAGCTTTATTACTAGCTTCACTGGTTGGAAATACATTAAACTTACTTCATCTTAAAAACTCGTTAACACATTGAACAATCTACCAAATCGACAAAGCATAGAAATTTGCAGTTACATTACTTGATAAATCGTTGAACGAGTATGTTCTACTTGCACCGCCCCTCTGCCTCGTCCAAAATTACCACCACCACGACCTCTTCCTCTTCCTCGTACACGATCTTCAGGTCGATTCTCTTTGTTTTCTTTGTTAACTAAATATTACAATAAAACATGCTGAACACAATAACAGTGAAGTATTAAAGACCCACATTCCACATCAATCTCTTATAAATTCATCCCACTGTCCTAAAAAATAACAGAACAATGTTAGCTACAGCACCAAGCGAACTACATACATTCATTCTTTTTAATTCGACTGCCAACAGAAGTCTGCGAATGATTTTTAACTGCATTTTCTTTGGATAAGGTTGTAACCACTGTCGCTGCAATCTCCTTCTTCTTCTTCATTGCAGCAGATTTATCAGCTTTTCTTTGATGTGAACTTCTTTCATCTTTCTTGGTTAGCGCTTCCGCTTTCCTGAGAATGACTTCCGGATCGTCGACCTCTGCAATAGAGGAATAATTTGCTGTTCAGGTAATGAACAAAAATTTAACCAGTGGCACAAAAATAAAACTAATGAGGCAAATTTCCGAAACAGCATCCTAATTACTATATAATAAACCTTTAGTGTGAAACACTACTACAATGAACCTTCAAACACTGAGCTGAGGTTCCAGTTAATACTATACTGAAATCATAGCCATAGTCCTTAGTTTCAACAGAGTAAACTACTTGATCATGCAGAGTAAAAACATCTTATAAAGACGATACTGACTTAGTGTGCACTATAACAAACATAATTTTGTTCATTTAACTTATAAGAATAAATAGTGGGTTTTCATAGCAATATATGAGCAATTACTCCAGTATCCCTTTGTCTTAAAATTGTGATATCATGGAGTAAAAAAGATACTTGTGTGATATAAACAGTGAGAAAAAGAATCACCATCGTCCGACAAAAATCCGAATTTGTTGGTGACGTTAACGCCGTATTCAACCATATGTTTACTTTCAGAGATCTTAAGCTGGTTACGACGTTCTTCTTTCACTTATTTATGCACGAATGTTCGAGTGCTAATCTCAATGACCAAGCTAGATAATGCTCACACAGAACCTATTCCGACGAGGAATTAATCATAGTGTTTTTTAGTACTTCGATCTGAACAATGAACTGGAAAAAATTTATCACTAATGAAGCACCACGCAGCGTAGAGAGTAGTGAACAACGCACAAATTATAAAATATCTTGAGTAACTAACAAAAAATAAATCTTACAGATTTTGTCCTGAAACACTGTAATAGGTAACTCACAAATATCAATAAACTATAGCTAATCCAATGTTTGGTTCTTATATACACACATATTAGTATTTAACAAAGTTAATTTGCCTGGATCAAAAACTTGGACACAGAAAACTCCGAACCATTACAAAAGTTAGTTTACTCTACCAAAAACAAGAGGAGCTTGGAATAAAATCAAATAACACACTGTAAACAAAAGCATGTACTAACTACATGCAATATCCGTTTGTCTTAAAATTGTAAGCATAAATCTACTCCTATAGTATGTTATAATAAATAATAAACAGTAGCCGAATGAAGCAAACAGCAAATAAACATGCTGTCAATCAATAACATCACAACAAAGAAGTATTGGCGCTAAGATAATGTGAAAAAAAATTGAAAATTAAAACAATATGAGAAAATTAGATTAGTAATGTGATTAAGGAACGATACTTCGGGATAATGTATACACAAATTTGTGTTAGTATAGCACATACTTTATATAGTTAAGCAAGCTAAGATAATGAAGTAAAAATAAGCAACAATGTAGTTGAAGATGATAAGAAGCGCTTGACAACATCACATCAGAATTTTCTAACAAGTAGCAACGATGAGCGTAGCATCACGATAGTAAGGCGCACGACTGGACGATTGCCTGGCCTAAACCTCAGCGCGAAATAGTGAGACAGATACACACACGGACAGACAGCAAGACAGACAGACATGCAAACTTCTAATATGCAGCGGCAAGCGTGGATTTTTCGCTGCAACACACGCATACACATTAACGCAGTAATCAAGCGGAATGTATCGCCCCTCTACTATATTTATTGGTTGTAGAAGACAGATTTTTCAGATACGATAAAGCAGGAATTCGAATTCGAGTATTCATTTATATCTCACGTATTTAGCAGATGCAGCACATGGTACAATATGTGACTGTACAAAAAAAAAGTAAACTAATCTAGTCTAATTCGATTCACTTCAATCTGAGCTACTTCATTTTGATTAGTTTAGTTTAATTTAGTTCAAGTCAACATTATACTACACTACACCATACCTGAAATGATATAAAGGAGAGAGCAGAAATGAAATGAATAGAACAAGATACAGCACAATATGCTATACCACACTATACTATATTAAAATTTGATCAGTACAAAAGGAAATTAAAAGAAACTAGAGCAGAACAGGACAAGGCAAGGCAAATTATAAGACAAGGCACAACGCTATACAGCACAACACATCACAACAATGACACGATATGATATGATAAGTGACATGCGACGTGACATGACATCCTCCCTATGTTCACACCTCCCTTGCTCAGCTGCACTTTTGCAATTATTCTCTACGCACGTCTTCCTGCTCACTACCTTTCACCCTTCCTCTCTCTTCATCTCAAATTCATTCCTTCTTACTTCCTCTTTCATCCTCACTACGCGTGCACTGCGTCTCATCCGTGGCTAGTCACGTGCTGCAACATTAATATGTTGCCGTATATGCTAATAATTTATAGCCTAATAGTTTTGTATCCATGCGCACATTCATACATTCAGTCATGCATTAACTCATTTATTCATTCCATTCATTCATGTACATACTCAAGTATCGAGGTTGACATCAAATGCAGTCGAAATCTAAATTATGAAGTAATAACTCACTTTAAAATGGTAAACACACGATCGATTGATTGATTGATTTATCGATATGATGATCGCTTGATTGAAGCTTAAAAAAATGTGTAATGCCGTTTCAATAGAAACACTACCTATGTAGAGATATATGTAAAGGTAGTTGAGCGATAATTGCTGATATTAGTATGTCCGTTCGCAAAACATTTGTGTGTGTGAGTGACACAACTTATCTCCATCCCCTGATCGCATTTATTCTTTAATAATAGTTTAATTACTTGTTAAATTGCTATTTTAAATAATAAAATACTTGCTAACTGAATGTTTTGTATTGTACAGATATTTATTTTTAGATTATTACGCAATAAAGTATTTTCTAAACTTTGTACTCACTAAAATCTGAATTATGGCTGCTTCCAAACAAGGTAATGCTGAGAAGTAAAGAAAAAGTACACGTATATACAAATAATAAAGTTATAGTTCCCTTCAGCTTTATGAATGAACTTGATATTTATTGAATGATATCAGTGTGATTCACTATTTGCCACAATTTTATATGCGTAATAGGACTTCATAATTAATTAAATTATTCATTAGGCAGGTGTGAACAATTTTTGATTTCTGCTAATGTAATGAAAACTTCAAGTATGTTTTTCACTATATAATAATGTTCTACGGTAAAGGCATTAGCTTTCGATGCCTAGTTGAAAAGAAAGATGCAAAAGAAATCAGCCATCTAATAAAATTTACTTCTGATTTTTTTAAACTAATCATTGGTTATTATTAGAAAGCTAATGCTATTGCTTTTATGTTAAATTTTCAAATGATTATAATCCGTTAAGATTATAATCATTTGAAAAAATTCCTACAAAATTGAATTATAATCGATTATTTTAACTTTTTTGTTGTTTTAAGAAATTTATCAGTAAAACATAGTTGTTGGTAAGCAATTGTTTAAAAAAATGAGAAGCTATTATTTCAGAAGACAATAACAGAAGACTGCTAGAAGAATTAAATCGAACTCGGCAACTGATGATGAAAAACTCGGGGTATGTTTTTGTGCTAGCAGGCGTAAAATATACTCTTTTAAACTCAAAATGGCCATTTTGGATTATCAGCAACAGTTTGAGATTAACCATGCAAATATAAAATCAAAATTGCCTTTGAAATTTGAAAAAACTGAAATTGTTGGTGTAACAAGCTGTGATCAAATTGTGTATCACAGCGTGGTTATTTTGAATCATTTTTTCGTCATTATTGACAAGTTTTGATCGATATTATAATGTTTTTTTTTCGGATCTTTAAAAATGAAATTTCCCGAATATTGTGCATTTAGGACTTCAAATCGGCCTTTGGCACCGGATCCAGTAGCACCACGTTGTGACTCGCGCACTATTCAATTAGTGAATAGTTTAGAAGCACAAACGCCTATTACATTCATTTTGTCGAATTCACAGTACAACAATGCAATTTTACCAATATTTCCAAGAATAGCACCTTCCTGATCTATGTGAATACGTGTTTTTTGAAATTTGTTCTAACAAAAACTATGTGAACAAAAAAAATGTGAATAAGTAATCATAATTATCAGACAAGTTGAACTTGACAAAGTAGTATTTTTGCTAGTCGTTGCATAATATAGCATCATTTTAAATCACTTCATTATTTTACAACATTTCTTTAATTATCCATCTAGGCTGTTTTGGCCACATATCAGTGTACTGTATTAAGTAATAAATCAGGAAATAAGTTTACATAGCTTTCTAATAATTTTCTCACTCTTTAATTTCTGAAGGTACTGATGCTGATTTTCACACGGCAAAGTCATTTTGTATATCAGTAAGATTGGAGTTTTCTGTGAGTTTTGAACATCTAGAATTAAAACTTCTTAAGTTCTTATTCAGTAGCTTCGGTAACTACTTTAGTTAGTGAGTAAGCTGTAATTATCTAAAGAAGCTTGTTTTTTCGATATTTTTAAGCTGCCGTTCTTTTGCTTTCATTTCATGATTTATTTAATTAGCGTAGGATTGTGCCGAAATGTTTTTCGATCTCATTCAAGTTCTACACTATTAATTATGAATCAGAATATATGAATGAGTAAATATAGTTATTCTAGAAGAACTGACGTAAATAATTCTTAGGGAGCAAAGTTTCATGGTATTCTCAATTTCTGCAATGACGCTTCAGATGCAATTTGAGGTGATCACTGCGTGAAAATAATCGACCACAAACAGAACAGCGGAATGGACGGTCACCGGTATGCTTTCGATAGTGTCTAAACGGAGAAGTGCATCATAAAATTATTTCTGAATGAGGTTGAGGGAAATTTATATTTATTTATGGGATTTTCTACTGAAAGTGATTATGATGATTATGTATAAGATTGTAAGATTATCATGTCTGAAATTCAGTTTCTTAGTTTTACTGTTATGAAATTTTTAATGAAATTTTGATCAAGTGTAACATATATGATATTATTCAACCTTGTCAATTCATCACTTCTTGTAAACTTCCATAGACATGATGGCCAGCTACAGATGTATGGCTTTTCACCGCTGTGTGTTCTCATATGAGCTTTTAAGTGTGAGCTTTTATTGTATTTCTTGCAGCAGCCAGGATGAATACACTCGTGAATTAAATATTTCTTTATCATCAACTGGCGTTTTCGTTTCTTTTCTTCTGATGTAGGAGCGTTTTTCAACATCCTATAAAAGAATTGATCAGTTTCGTTTATTTATTTGAACTTAAAATAAATTTGTTTTAGCAGTAAATGAATTTATGAAGTATTCAATTTATACAGTTTGTTTGTAATTACGTGACGCTTACTCTGTGATTTTCGTGCTGGATGAAGTGCTCATTGTGAGTGTTTCCTGTGTATTTGTTGTTAACGAGACCAACTCTTGTGCAGAAAAGTTTCTCACTTCAGGTTCACTTGTTTTTTCATCAAAGTTAGAATAAGATAATGAAGCCAGAAATAAGGCAGAAGTTGATTCGTATGTTGTAGCAGAAAAATTTGGTGGTGTATGAACTTCCTTTTCTTTTGAATGATATGTTTGTTGAATTTGTTCTTCTGTAGTCTTTCCATTATGTTTCACTTCAAATTTTCTAGGTATCGGAGGCAAACTGAGAGCAATAGGTGGATCGCACTGCGTTCGATCTCGGCAGTGAATCTGGATTAATCCTTATTATACTACGCTACTCATTTTTAGTTTTCTTGTTTTCTGTTCATGACAAATTCTTTCAATCTTTAGTGTTTTTTTAATGCTGTCGACGGAACTATTTGCCTATTTTGCTTGCTATGATAACGTTATTTTTTACTGACTATCACTGTCGTTGTAATGATAAAAAGTGAGTCATACCTGAAAACATCGAGAATGTTGGTGATTGATCTTAGCTGTATTTAGTGGTGATAATGAGCTGAAGCAGTAATGTGGATCTGTGATGCCAACATGTTCTGTATTTAAGAATTCAGATATATCTTTCCAGATCTGAAAATCATGACAATTTGGTACCGAAGTAATTAGTGTTGCGAGTTAAATTTAAGCAAGTTCTTAGTATCATGATTTATCGGTATGTCTATGTCTGGCATTTGTATTGTTAGGAAACTTTATAAACTAACGATAGTAACTGGTTGGAAGAAGTTTTGTTAATAATTGGAGTTAGCAAGCTTATTTTGTGTAAAAATACAAAAGAGTGTGCTCTTTTTGTCATTCCAAAAAAAGCATTTGAGCTTTATATTTCAATGAGTTTAAAGCATGAAATGCAGATCATATTCACTATTTTACCATATGAGCAAAATGTTATGAGATTTGGTCAAAACTTCCATGATACTCTCTTTAAGGATGAGATGTATGTATTATATCAAATAGAGTTACATGAAGACGTACTTCGTTAACTTCTGATGCTTGCTGATTGTCGGCAACTTGATCCATATATGTTTCACATACTTGTGATTGCGTATATACAATTATCCTGTCTACAAAAGGATTCCAAAATTTTTTGAGTAAATAGCAAATAAAGGAATACGGCACAAATTTTGTAATAGTAGTAATTATTAATTCCAAATGATACCAATAACAAACATACATGATCTAATCCACTATGAATACAATTTTGAATTAAAAAATTGTCTTATTGTAAATATATTCTTTAAGATTTTTGAAGCTAAAAATTTGATGATCAAAAGTTTTGAAAAAAATTTAACCATTTGTATATGAACGCATAGAATTACTCTCTAATTATTAAGTAACTTCACTTTCTTAATCAAGCCTATTACAGTACTAAATTTATTCTCTCATTAATTCATTTGTACAATTCAACTTTTATTTAAAAAATAAAAAAATGCATATGGCATAAAAATAATGCACTGAAAAGTAGAAACAAATATATAGGTTGCTAGAAAGTACTTGCGGAAATAAATTGACTGCATTGGAGTGATAACATGCTCATCGTTCATTTTAGCAATCACATTTTTTTATTTATTGATAAAGTGAAACATTTTATTGCCTCTAATTCTATTCCCCTTATCATCATTTCACGTTTTCAAACTTGACGTGTGTTTAATCTTACTTATTTTTTGTAAATTCAATATTGAAACTTGTACTTTTTATTAATATAATTATTGATATATTTTCTGTTGACTCGTACTTACACACTTAAGCACTTTATTACGTACTTTTTTTGTGTGTGATTGTCCATAAACTGAATCACTGGTCATAATTATTTATTTAATGCATATAATTTTTTTTTTTCATAAAAATTTTATCCAAAAATTGACAATACAAAATGTTAGAGCAAGAAGAAACTATTTGCATAAAATGGAAGAATAAGAAACAAAATGCTAAAAAACCAGTAAACCAATATAACACAGCACTTTGTTTGAAAAGCGAAAGAAAAACCAAGTTGTTTTAAAGTTTTCATTTTTAATCTTATATACTGAAAGTTACAAAATTTTATTTTTTACATTCTTTGAAAAAAAAAATCATTAAAAAAAATATTGATAGCTTTTCTAAAAGTCATGTTGATTACATTACCATAATGTTAATTTCTCATTAGTTTCAATTTACGTAATTTTGCTGCTTACGTTAAATGATGTCAAAAATTTACTTTATGCTGAAGATATTTATTTAAAAAAGTGTAAAAGTATACATATGACAAAATACAAACAAAAATAATGGCACTCATTAATAGATGATTGGAAAACTTATGGTTGAATACAAAAGTATACAAACAGGTCAGATTATGGATGTAGCATAAATGTCATAATAAGGCACAAGGTCATATCATCATAATAAATGCCACATTAAAAAATATAGTGATGAGAACAGAAGTGGAGATAATAGTATCATTGAATGAATACAAGACGATAGATAGTCTTATCATTTATATTACATTTGAAAAGATCAGATACGAAGCGGTTGGATAAAAATGACATAATCACAGATTATGCGTTATTTTATGATTATATCCAAGTGAGACAATTTGAATTTGTGGTTCAAGCAAATGTACAAAAGCACAAATAAAATAATATCATATACAAGTGAGAAAATTGCTTTATTTGTTAAATTGAATCCTAAATTGAATAAAAAATTGTATATTGTCAAATTAATTCACTTGTTTCAAATTCATAATTTTGTGCATTGAATATTTTCAGTAGTAATAAAATCAAAAATGTAACGAAGAAAAATTAGTTAAAAATTAAGACTTTTCAACTTTTTTAAAGCTTAGAGTATATTTTTGATTTCATACATTTATTTCTTAAAAATTGTACAAACAAAAATAGCAAAAATACTTGCATATATTAATTTATATTAAAAATTTTTTGCTTTGCTTGATGTTTTCAATTTATATTTGCATAGTGTTTATAATTTTTCAACTTTTTAATAAATCAGAATATAAAATTAGCATAGTTTTTGTAATCAAATGTTTATAATTATAAAAGTTTAAATGCTAGCAAATAGAAATTATTCTATACACGAAAATGTTAAATAATTTTATTACTTAATATTTTTGTTCATTTTTATGATTACTTTGGAAAAAATTTTTTCTACGTATTTGTCATCAAATGAATTTTTTTTTTTTTTTTGCCTTTGCACAATACAATTACTAATGTTAATACTATTTCTGATGATAGATTCAACGATTTTAGAATAAATGTCAATAAGATTACAAGCTGACATGGTACGATGAGTTTTGGTAAAAGAAATAAAATTTATGCAGCTGCTATTCAAGCAGAAAATAACGGTAGGTAGTAAGTTAGTTAAGCTGAGGTGATAAATAGGTAAACAAGTGGTGCCACTGTTCCAAAATCACGAAAAAATTAACAAAACTGAGGAGGAAAATTGATGTTCATTACCAATTGTAGTAGCTATTGTCATAATGAGGTTGCTCATAAGCTTTTTTACACTTTTCATTCTGACAAAGTTTTCTTCATCACTCAATTCACTACATAAGGTATCAAATTCTTCCTACCATTTTTAATGCAGTTTTGCAATTGCTAAAGTTCAAGACGTGGTTTAATTTAATTACTATACTTGCTAAAGAAATTGTAGATTTTTGATAAAAAATTAATTTTGAAAAATAATTCTACAATATGGTCCGTTTTTCTTTTCATCTGTAATTGAGTTTACTCTGAAAAATTTTGATAGGGGAAAAGTTAATTGACAATCAGTACAAACTATTATTATTATTATTAATATTATCATTATCATTATTATTATTATTATTATATCACTTGATTGACAATAATTTGAAACATTATCAATAATTTAAGAAAGTAAATTTCATCAACAATATTTTATGCTTTTATTCATTCTGATTGATAAGGCAAGGGTAAAGTTATAAAATGCTGCAGTAATAGAATTGAAATCTAACAGTCAGTTTAGATTTGTACAATAATTTTTTAAGTTAAATTTTACTTAAGAATTTACTACAAATTTGTTTACAGCCTCATAATGTTCCTTGCTCACAACTAGTTGTGTTTGGTGATGATTTCACAGATGATGGCATGGAAGTTGATGCAAATTCATTTGGTTTTGCAAGAAATTCAAATGGTCCCATTTGGTCAGAATATATCAATCGAATACTTGATTGTAATGAGGTGGTCAACTTGAACTTAATCATTTACAATCAACAAATTTAAAAATAATTTACTGATTGCTTTGAAGAAAAAAATTTTTTGAAATATTTATGTGCGATATGAATCAGTGTGCATTGATAAGCTTACAAATTTATTTGTCATGATTTAATAGAAATTTTCAATCAGTCAAAAAAATTTATGCTATTAAGTAATTTTTTATGCAATTTTTTTAATGTTTATCATTTTCAGTACATTAATTACGCGCACAGTGGCGCTAAAAGTAGCTATGATAATATGTATTTCTCAGATTGGTCAGGAATTTTATGGCAAATTGAGTATCATCTCATGAGTCATCGTTCTACACCAAAAGGTAACAAGTATGGTTTAATTTTTGCATGACATTCTTGAAATTGTTACAAAAATATCAAAAGTATAATAAAGGAACAACTGTAAAATTTGCTTTTAAGTAAATAAAACTTTATTAGTTAACGACACAATTTAAACTATTATTTATTCAGTATTTAAATTATTTTTTGATTGCTTATATAATTACACTATTAATGCATGCTTGCTGAGGAGCTATTTTCAATTCATGCAATTTTTTTTTTTGATCCGCTGCTGTATTTTTAAATACATTGCCTCATTTTCATAGCCTAAATTTCAATATTTGAAACTACTATTTACCATGAGCTATTAAGCTGACGTATAAATTTTTTGAGATTCTTTGGTAATATTGCAAACTGGTGGATTACCAGAATTGCTGTGGCAGCAACAAAACTATATTAATGGTTCATTTCATATTGATCAAATCACTGAAAATATAGCACATGTGGTTCTGGCTTTGATTGATACTATTGATAACGGTTTTTTATACTCCATATTATTTTTTGAACTCATCATCATAATGCCATTTTGTTGCTTCCCAAAATTTCTATCACTAGTAATAGATGAATTTCTGTACTCATGAAACTATTGCTCTTCTCTAATTCTAAAATACAATTTAGTAATCGAAATCGTTTACTACTAATTAATGAAATGTAAATGTATCAGGCATCATAATAATCATGAATATGATTGATCCATCTGAAACGCCACTGTTTGCAACAGATAATGGTAACGGGGACATATCGTTACCGGTATCAAGCATTAACGCGGTAAGTTAGCAAGTTGAAGAAGTCATTATAAAAATAAGCTTTGTGCTATATAAAGATTTCGCAGATAAAGCTTAATTATTTCAGAGTAATCACTTTAATACTGACACTATATAAAACAACAATTATGTATTTAAATTTCTCGTTTAGAAGCTTTGGAAGTTAGTGCAAAGTGAGGGACGTGAAAATCAACGAATTAGGCTATTTGATCTAAATGCAGCCATTGTGGATGCTATTCGAGGACTAAATGCAAAAGACGCTTTCACTTTTCAGCAACCTAATATGACGTACATTTCAATATTTCAAACTTAAAAGAATAAATTACAAACAAGCAAACTTACTAATAAGCAGTTTATATGATAAAAATGAAGGATGATAGTTGAATCACAAATCTTGAAAATTTGACTACATGAAATCCCGTGATTCCAGAATGCAAGAGACTTATTGAATTTAATTCTTACTTCGAAACTTAAGTGAAGGTAATTTCTACTTTAAATTTTCTACTATTTGTCATAATTTCTACTTCTACTGACTTTCAAAGCTTTTTAGGTCTCGGAAGATATACGAATATGCTTATTATTACCAGTGGTATCCATCAACGCTAGTACATCATAAAATTGCTCAAAAGTTAATCAAATTTTTGGAAGACCTATAAAATGTAAAAAAATAATCTCGTGTATGTGCTCAACTACGACCCATTAACGCTATTTATAAGAATCCTAATGGAAATGAACGAAAAATTAGCATAAATAATGACCCAAATATAAGACAAAAGTGATATTACGGATTGATCTTCATGTATAATGTGTAGTATTCTGTAATTTTGTAGAAGCCATTTTAACAGATTTTTTGTTGTTGGGTTCTCATAATTTTTCTAGAATCGCAAAAACAAGTTAAAAATCACATAATTTTTATTCATAACTTTCAAATTTATTCTTCATAAAACAAACAATAATTATTCAACAAAGCTTCTCTTTCAAACAAAAACAGTCTTAAAACTCTTGGAATGATTAAATCAGTAACATTCACACATCACATTCGTATATCTGAAAATCACAGGTTTTTGTGTAAAATGCCAGTAAAAGTAACAGGTTACTATACAATAAAGTTGAGTAATCTATAGCTGTAGTAAATAATTTTTCAAATTTATTGATGCTATCAAAAAAAAGACTAATAAAAAAATTCAAAACAGTCCATTTACCGCCACCAAATTGTAAATGAATGTCGTGCAATTGAGAATACGATTTTTCATTAAACATAAACGAGTAAGAAAAGAATATGGATCACTTCTATCACTTCCTTGATATTGAAAAATTTGCATACAATATGATCATCTCTTTTTCTTGTTTCGAAAATATGTTCCTTTTTTCTTACCCTAAAAAATTTTTTTGAAAAAATAATTGAAAAATAGACATCATATTCTTACTGATCATTAACTAATTGCATCTTTTAATGATTTAGATGATTCTTGTAGTCAATATCGCTACCACCCAAACAAACGCTTCAAGTAACCAATCACTTTTCCAAATACGATAAAAAGCGATACTTCTCGACTTTCTTCAACATCACACTTTATTAATCAGTCAATTCCTTTTTTTCCTGCAATATATGTAACTATCTTGCTAATTTACGTGAATAGTTTCACGAAACATACCTGAATAGTTTTACGAAACAACAGTGAAAGACAGATATTGAGTAATAAATATAATATGATACTTGTTACCACAAGTATTAAGAACGAGCCCGTATCATCAATAGCCCATAATGAGATACGCGTAAAGCGATCCAATAACATCTTCTTCAGATCCTCCAACATCTACAAAACATCAAAATTCGCCAATATTTCTACGCATTTATCTGTTAATTTTTGTCACATATTTCTACATCAGTGAAGTATCAAAATGAAGTGTCATTAATAAATGAGAATAGCTTAGTAATGACCAGAGGTCATCTGAATATGAGCAGAAATATCAGAAAAGACATCTCTTTCTAATAGCTTTATGACCCCACATTTCAATTAATACAAGTAATGGCGATAGGATGTAAAAGCAATTTGATGGGAACAATTTTTTAAGATCAAAGAAGCATATCTGTGTTACATGTCTCAGTTTTACAACTCAGCCAAAACAGAATACATAACAATCACTTCTCGCATTATAAGCACAACGATTCCATCTTTACATTGATATCTCATTAAAAAAGAGCCAACTGAAATAACAATGAAAGATAAATAACGTAAAAACGCAACAGTTGCAATAATCACTGATAAATGGATTAATAAAGAGGCAGAAATAATCATCTACTGATTTATCAACTATGAAATTAAGATCAACTCAACACGTAAAAATTTACTTACCTGAAGATTCCTGACACAAGTAAAACAACAAACGAGTAATAACACTCAACAGAGGACTCTTACATCCGAATTTGCACTTTTTTTAACAAAAAATTTAAAAAACCTTTTGAAAGGACTCTTGAAAACTCTTTCAGTAAATAGAATTTATTTTAAAAAAATTAACTTGGCAAGAGTTCATAACCTATTTATTAAAATAAATAAATAAATATAATAGCATATAATACCTGCATACTTGAACACCAAACCCAATACTTAAAAAATTATTGGTCTTAGAAAGACAAGAACAACAAATCTATACATATTTAAATATAATTGCTTTAATTCTCATAAACACAAAGCTTTTAATCTCGATTGCATTAATGAAATTATATTTCTTAAGCTGTGTTGAAAATTACTTCTCTCTTTTTTTTCAAATTTCCAACGGAAAACATTTTAGAGAATTTATTTGGCACTAATGTAAATTATGAGAGCATTTTATAAACTACAAACTGTATTATTTTCATCAAAACTTTAGTTAAAAAGCATTTATAATTACGACACCAAAAAAAGTCGATGCAATAGCAGATAAAGTACGCGTATAAAATCCAAATCGGTGAAGAATGTAAGAAGTTTGAAAGATTTTTCCCAATATGGAAGTTGAATAACATGTGTAGCCACATTTTATTCGATATACGAAGTAAACATCGACCATTAACTCTACCATTTGGAATACTGATAAATGCAGATCAGGAATAGACCAGTCCTTCCATGATTTGATAAACAGTACTCTTCGGTACTTGAATCTGTAACGGTGAATATTTGTGATAATATGAACTCACAACCTTTGAAAAATGAGATATATGTTAATAAAAAAGAAGACAAATCAAGTTTGACAGAAAGCTCTTATATACATTTGTTTGAATATAAGTCTAAAATACTCAATAACTTTTTTAAACATAAATTCATAAATCTTCAAGTAATACAAATTTATTGAAGTTCTGAGAATCGATTTTTCTTTTCTATTAAAGCGCTGTTTTGAAATTTTCAAGGTTTTCTAAAACAACGTATCAGGAAATATGACTAGTTCACGTACATAATCGTGCTGCAATTAAGTGCTTTATCCCAGCCCTTTGGTGTTTTGAAGACCTTTAAAATTTTGACCAGAAACTTCCTTACTTGCATATTTGACACTGTAATCTATTTTCAGTGGATGCTTTTCGCATCCACAAATTAAAACATTTCTTATGTACCCACAGCATAGAGCCCGAACATTTACAAGGTCGTAGCCAACCCTTCATACCAGTTCCTTCTGCATAACAAAACTTACAAACCTAAAAAAATGGCATGATAACCATGAGATTCCTTTTTTTCAATCCTGAATATTTTGTGGACTTTAGAAAGTTAAGTCTGGAACCAAAAACTATTAACATTACGAATCTAAACTACGAATGCAGCATTAAATAATTCTAGAGAAATTAAAGATTAATATCTGCCTCCAATTTTGAGTGTCTGTAGTTTTCAGAAGCCTGCGGAATAAAATTACCTTCACGTCCTGCTTTAAATGCTTGATGTAAGGAATGGAGTAAACACTTGCCTTTTCGCACATTTCTATTTTCAATAAACAGATGTCCACGTCAGTTGGCGGCTACCTAAAAAATTTTCACAAAAGTAAAACAAAAATAATATTAGACTATTTTTGGGAAACCATCCTATCGATTATCAAAGTTCAGCAAAATATACGTAATGAGTAAGATTCATGATAGAAATTATGATAGGATATCATCCTAAATCAACATAATACTTGCAAAAGCACATGGGGAATATGCCGAACATTTAACACAAAATATTTAATGCTGATGTATTACAGTTTTATAATGGCAGAGCTAATTGAGACAAAAATAGAACATACATGACAAGTACTGAATTCTTTGCTTTCATGTTAACCTCACAAAAAATAACATTCAGTAGTGAGTACACTGCAATATGATGAGATAATCTATCACCGGAAAAGAGATATTTGGATAGGCAGACAAAACATCATATTTCAACTTCCATATCAGGAGAGAGTAAATTCTTTACCTAAAAGAAAATTTTCTTATAAACAAATGATCAAATCAGCTAGTTCTCAGATATAATTACTTGAAACAATACCTAAAAGATATAACAATAGAAAATATGTCATCTAAGAAAAGTAAAATGAGATAGGAAAAAGGTCCATCAGCACTGCCATCACTGATTTGCTTTTATTTTATAGTTAACAGCAGCTTACTCAAATGCATACAGAAATACGAAGTTCTATAATTTGCTAAGAAATGTTAGGGAAAGTATATGCTTTTATAAAATGAAATATAATTATTGTAAGATAAAGAATGTGATTTGGCAAAAATTACTCATTCAAACTATAAAGTTTCTGTTGATGGAAGGATTAAAAACCAATGAAATAATTGAAAAAAAAAAGATTATTTATAGTACATATGTTTATAAACAATCTCAAGTTTTATACACGCTGTACATTACTATAAAATATGACAAAAAACAGATTAGTTAGCATCCATTATTGTTGAAGAGAATATAGATGATACAATGTTATACGTAATATTTGAATAAAAATCAAATCTATTTTTTGTGCCAACGAAAAGTTTCCACCACAGTGCATAGCTACCATAAAGAAAAAATGCAAAACCGCTATTAAAACAACAAGGTAAATAACGACATAAGCGATATGTTAAAACTATATCAATGTATATCTGCAGTATGTCACTAATTCGTAAATGTAAATGTGGCCAATGCCATTGACTATAAGGCTTTAAACTCCATCGACGGCGGTAAACATAACTGAAATAACTAATATGAATAACTGCTACAGTAAAACTGAGAATAAAGAGATTTTGTATTCATAGTAGATAAGCGCACAATACATTGATCACTGAATTGTAACAAAATTCGGAGCAAAAAGACGTAGGAGAGAAAACAATGTTAATTATTAACAATAAATACAATTTATTTACTAATCAACATCATCATTTCTACCAATTAAACAGCATTAAAGATAAAAAATGTGCAATGAAAAAGCTTACTGGCAAATTTCGCAGTCATATTTCTTCATTCCTGGGGCTTGGAAAAGCCACTGCTTAAAGCAGCTCATATGAACCCACTTCATCGTTCCGACACATTTACATGGCGATAACCAATCACCAAAATCATTATCTGATAAGCAATATCGACATATCTATAAATAATATATTTTTTGCTTCTTTCATCATTAAATAAAATCAGTACAAAATAAGTCATGAAAAATATATTCTTGTGAAGTTAACGGAACTGATCATAAAATGGCTAGGAAAACTATGCCCCTTATACTGTTGAAGCGATGAATATTTGAACATAAATATAAGAATTACATCTAATGGCACATCCACAAGTAAAGTCAAATTTGTTTTTTGAGAAAATTCAGCTGAAAACGCATTCTAATATTATAATATAGCTCACATCTAACGCTGTAAACAATATTGCACGGAACCTTCAATTCAGAAAAAGAAAAACTGCAGTACTCATTTTTCATATGTAAAAATTAATCAGTAAATATGAAGTATTAAATGCTATTACTGACTGTAATTCTTCCAAATTTGTTTGATAAAATCATAGAACTCAGAAAAAGAAATCAGAAAGTAATTAGTTTCTTTCAAAGTATACTTTAGATCGGTCAGTAGTGTTGTTATCACTCGATAGTGGAGACATGCTGTGATGTGAGAGAGAAAATATACCAGAAAGATTGTCAGCTTCTGATAAATAATCTTCGCTATCGCTTCTATTCTTCTTGCTACTACTTGATGGTATTGAAAGAAGTTGATCCTCATCCATTACTTTAATACTTCTCACATATGTAAACAACGAATAAGAAGTGGACTCCCAAACAAGTCAAGACTACACAAATACCAACCAGTCAGCCGGATACAAAACGAATTTAGAATTAAATTCAGAAACTCTATATTTCAGAACAACGACTAACCGTTTAATACCCAATGCCCTCACTTATTTTACTTCATTTGAATATTAATATGCATAATAATGATAATATTATTAATAGAAATTTGCATATTCCCACTAGCATATCAGTCAAGAAATTTAGTTTCAGCCTGCATCTCAAATTAGTACTTTTTAAATAAAGTCTAATCTGAGGTATGTATTATTCAAATATAAATACAAAAGCAACGAAAAAAAAAGCAATATTAGCATTCTTAAATGCAGATATGATCCTTTTGACATTTTTTTTATTGCAAACAATTGCTGACATTTTAGCAATTAAATTAAGCTAAAATTCAAAAGCTCTTCGATAATATTTTGAAATATTATTAAGATTGCAAAATAATCCATTTTTGTAGCATAACTTTAAAACTAATAATTTGAAAAATATTTTTTATCATTATTTGACTAAGAATGCTAAAATTCAATAGCTCTTCGGTATTAAAAAATGTTAAGAAATAGAACTATGATAACTATTTTAATGAATGGAGACAGCAGTGAGCTCAGAATTTGCATAAATAATATACTCATTGAATTGATTAAAAAAATTTGCAGCTTGCTTTTGCCTACTAAAATACAAATCTTGCAATTATCATTACCAAAAATATAATTCAAATTATCGGAACTAAAAATACGCTAGTTTTGAACTATTAAGTCTGCCTCACTCTTAGCAGAAACTATTATAAGCCTCAATATTGAATATTGAACTATTTTTAGAGTTATTTAATATTTAAAATTTCAAGAGTTTATTGATAAAATTCAATGATTATGCTTCATCAAGAATTGCAAAAAAAAGTGCTATGAAAAATAATAAAAGCATCATTGCTTCCAATGGATGTTGTTGTATCCAGTTGACAAAAATATCTAACTTTTCAGTTGCGATTTCTTGGGCTTTGCTTTCACTTGTCGATGATCTTAAATTATTAATGTCTCTAATTAGATCTTTGAATAAATTTCAGTTACTGATTAAAGTATTTAATCGCAAAATTTTTTCTTACATTTTTTAATTTTCAGCAAAAAAAAAAGTTATTTATTAAAGCATTTTGAAAGTGCTTTTTTTTGTATTCATTATATATTTGATTCTTTTGTCTTGTTGATAACTTCAATATTTGATGCACATAATATTTTCTAGAATCTGAAGATCAGCTTATTATTTCATACTAAATCTGTTAATTGACTCATGTCAGTAGATGTTAATTGATCTTAATATGCTAATGACGGTATCTGTTCATTTATTACTTGTGAGTATTAATGGCATTCATTTATGGTCAGTGGTGTAAGGAATAAAGAGGTGAGAGATTAAATGTATGAAAGAAAATAAGGTATTCAAGGAGATTAGACGTAACTGAAGGCAATAGCTAAGAAAGAGAAAGGAACGGAACAGAGATTCAGAATAAATTTACGTCTTTGAATATTGCTCATCGAGTTTTGATCTATTTGAAGGACTTGGTGCTTCTTTTTGTTGTTCAAATGTAAATTTAGTTAAAGGTAATTCTTCTGTTTCTTCGTTTCTGTCTGTTGAATGCAGTTCTGCTAAAATTTAAAACAAGTCATAATAAATTTGTATGGTGTAAATGAGTTACACACTGATTCATATACTTCAATAAAAGTTTTCTATGATTCTATCTTGTATATATGTATATATAACTATAAAAAGAGTAGATATAAAGTTTAAGGATAACCAGTAGTTTTAAATTATTGAAAAGTTAAAAGGCACTTCAGGGTTATTATTATTATTATTATTATTATTAAATGGCCTTAATAGTATTCAAAAAAATTTAGTCCTAATTAACTTTTAAGTATATTTACAAAAGAAATAATTGATTCTGTACAATATGATATCTCTGAATTTCTTTAATTAGTATTTGGGTATTTTTGCTTTCTTGCCTATCAGTTTGGTTATTATTGTGTGATTATCGGCGATGTCTTGCTCGACAAAATTTGTTGCAAGCATTAGTTTAGGAAGTCTTTCATTGCTTGCATTTTCAGTAGAAATTATTAGAGGTCGTCGCCATGTTAATAAACATCGTTGTTCTGCACGCGGTGGAATACAACCACTTCCTGCTGGTAAAGCCTAACAATACTTATGATAAATTCAAGTTATTAAGAATTTTTCATTAAATGCATCAAAATCATACAGGCTAGAAATTAAACGGAAATATTATCTTGTCTATTTGCTTATTAGATATTAGTTAGAATAACTACTCTGTTACCGTAATGTTAGAAAGTGCATCAGAACGAAGTTTGAAAAGCATTGGTAAATCTGCATGATTGCACAACAATATCTCAGTTTGCGCCATTTCGGGTCGTTGTTTTGTTGGAGCAAAATAAATCGCAACTGCTCTAAAATGATTTACAAATAAACTCTTGAAACCTATATTTTTATTTGATTCTCTTTCAATGTTGCCAATAAATAGAAATCATTCATGAAAATTCAAAAATGTAAATCATTTATGATTTTATCAACACAAATATTTTGCTAGCAAACGAAAGTTATTCAATCAGACAATTTTCACAAAGAAAAAAATCTTCAAGATTGTAATTGCAAAGTAAGGCAAATTAGTGTTTCAAGAGAGAAGCTTGAAAAAAATTCTTTATTCAAAAAAGTGCTAATATCATTTGTTTAACATTGTTAAAATAAAGCAAACATTTTCTAAAAATTCACTGTTTTGGTTTTTGCCGTTGCGATTTGATTACATAACTTGTAGTAAGTGGTCCTTGTGAAGTTTGAGTAACATCCAAACTTACAGTTTTGTTTGATGAATTTAATTCTTTATTGCTAAAGCATTGTAATTTTGAATTTTTATTAAATTAGTAAATTATTATATGTACTCTTATAAGAAATACACATACTCATTTCCATATATTAATTTTAAGTGACTTTTTTCCAAAAAAAAAATTGATGATGATTTACAGCAATTCTTTATGAGTACAAAAATCTAAATTACTTTCTTTTAATCATTTTAATTAATCTTAATGCATATTACAAAAGCTGAAAATTTTAAATTGGAGGAAAAAAGTTAGAAAAATTGTCATTTGGAATATCTAAACTTTTGCAATGTTATTTTGATTACTCGTTGATTGATTTTTTCTTTTTCAACTTAAAAAATTTTTTCACTTTTACTTTTTTGTTCATTTTTTAAAGTTTTGTTTTCAATACTGTATCATCAGTTGCCTAGTTTATTCAATTTTCATTGGCTATAAAATTTAGTAACAGCCCTTTATTACGGTAGTTTGATTTTATCATTGAAATTGCGATTTAAATTACAGCAAAACACAAATAAAAAATGAATCTGACAATCAAAAAGTTTTTTAAACATTCCATGTAGGTTCAAGCAAACTTTTGTTTGATTCGAAAAACTTTTTTGATCCAAAGCAATCTAATCGTTTTTTTCTTTTTTTTTGCTTTTTAAAAATATTGAAATAAAGAGCTGGAGAAGATTTCTGATCTGAAATAAGTCTTGAAATACTGATTACAAGTGAGAAGGATTCAATTATTACAGTTTAGTTCGTTGAATTCTGGAAACAGACATTTTTGTCGAGTAATCCATTTTTGATAACGACTTAACAATGATGTTCCTTATCTTAAGACTGATATACAACCAGCTTTGTAATGAAATGATAAATAATGCAGTGCAACTTTGCATCGCTTCCATTTTTTATGACGTTAAAACTAATCACAAATTTGCATAAATCTTTCTGTTTAAAAATTTGCATAAATTTTAGTCTCATGTTTATGCAATTTTTTGCTAAATATAATTAGTAAATAATGCCATCATCACATTATTTTCTTATTTTTTATACTAGTGATTCATGCTTCAGTAGATTATGTTTTCAAACAAATCTTTATTTCAATATGAATTTAAAATTGATTTTTACCAAATAAATTCATTATAAAAATTAATTAAATTTTTCAAACTTGTATAATTTTGTTGTGATAAATTTTTCGTTATTTTTCATTATATACTGCAACTATTCAATTTTGTAAACTTTTCATCTATTTCTCATTTATTATTGAATGAAAAAATCAAAATATCTAAATAATATTTTAAGTGACATCCAATAACTTTTGACATAGATTTTTAACTTGTGATCTTAGACAAAAGGATAAGAATGATAAAATAGCTCTTAAAGAAAAGAGATAAGGATTAGGAATAATAACTGCTCAAAGCTTGATGAGAATATCTGAACTTGCAAGATCCAATATGTCAAGTAAAACTTTTTTGACCTAAATTATTGAGATTCGAGATTACATAAAAATCGCATAAGAATGAGTATTTCTGGTTAGACTTAATAGACAATAAATATTTTTGACAATAATTAACTCTTCTTATGTTCAACTTTGAGTATAAATATACCAGAAGATCTCATCAGAAGTGCTTTGATGATTGACAGATATGAATAACCTTAGTTATGCAACACACATTTTCGTTTTTTCCTTTTAGTGATGAGATAATATTTTGAGAGGATAGTGATAATTACAGTCATCAAATCATTAGCGATAACATTCTCACTTCTAATCTTTTTTATTGCTATCTGCTTTTCGAAGGTAATTTATGGCGTAGTAATATTATATTTCTATTTAATAACTGTCAATTGTCCATGTTAACTTATGCAAACTAGTTTTAACGAATAAATTTATAAACTTAAATAATTTAAAAAACTCATCAAAATTGTGATTTTTGTTAAAATATATAGCAGCAACTTTTTTTAGAATTAAAAATTTTTTAATACCTGAATAATAACAATCAATTTTAAAATTGGCTGTTATTAATTACTTTTGACAAAATACTGTTTTAAACAAATCGAAAAATAAGTAAAATTTAAATATGAGCACATTGAAAATCATAAACGATAATTTTTCACAATATAGTTCCGTAAAATAATATTAGTAAAATAATGACACTTGAATTTAATGCAAAGTTAACATATAATTTTGAGAACTTTTACTAACAGTAAAATATTGAGCCATGTAAGCAAAGACTGGAAAGAAATTTCAGAAAGTTATTGACTGTCAAATTGTTTGAAATTCTTTCAGCATCTTTTTCATCAAGTAAACAAATTTGCAATCAGCAGGAAGTAAGTATTGTTTTTGAATTATTTAACTTTTTGTGAATAAATGTGTTGCTTCATTTCAAAATTTGTGATAATCTATCTTTTATTTTAGTGCTTTATTTAAAGACTTACTATTATTCGTTTTCTTTCACATTTCTGCTCTTGATGTGCTAAAAAATTAGAGGAGGAGCTAAGAAGCTTGACTTTTCATTCACTAATTATAAATATATATACACAAAAATCTTATTGGTTGGTGACCACTTAGTCAGTTTTGCCAATTGGTATCATTTTAGTCATAACTGACTTCCAAACTTTGCTGTTACCACTCACTTCTCCAATTCCCATCAGCTCGTACTTGAGTTCATAGTAAATGACAGTCATAATCATTCTGTTCATCATCTGTCTTACTCATTCACTTATTACTTTGTGCAAAGCTTATTTACTGATTGATTAAAGTGATGCAGCCAAAATTTTCAATTTTTATGATTTGCATAAAAGTATGCAAATTTTTTGTTGTTACGGATTGTATTCAAATTAGTTTTTAAATCGATTACAAATAGTAAACTGATTTATTGCGAACAATTCTTCGTTTTATTTTCATATCACGCGTGATGTATTCCATGTTGTCGTTATTAGACTGCAATCCAGTGCATGTAAATCTTTTCATTGCATTAATGTAATTTTACTTTGCAGATCGTATCATTCTTGGTTTGGAGTTTGCTTTTGTGATCACAAACGATAACGAAGCGGATCGTAAAATGAATAATAGAAACGAAAATATGAATATCCAAAATCAGAACCAGCAATCGAGGAGGAGACGGAAGAGACATCGAAGGCCTCGGAGATTTACAGTCTGCAATAGTTCTAGACAACAAAATAAGACAGGATCTTCCAATCATGGCCATTCACATTTTCAAACTGAACGACACTTTGATTTGAAACGCACATTATCTTTGAATGATTTAACCGCTCGAATCAACGGTACGAGTTTGTTATCTGAGTCAAATCAGTTAGATCAGAGTAAAAACCAATCTGAAAATTTTACAAGCAGTCTGAAACGATGTAGTTCTGCAAATGCTTTACTCATTTCCAACGATGATGATAAGCCATTAACTACTTTAAAACAATTAGATAAACTGAGTATAGTTGGTGCAAATCAGAAGACTCGAAGAAATCTCTCGATTTATAAGAATACTAATTTAAATGAAGCAAATAAATCTTCGAACAATACGAATGATCAAAATATGAGTAATGACTTGAATCAAACAAGTCAATCAAAGCCTAAAACTAATATTAATGATAGTTTTTCTCCTTTAAACGACCCTTCAGTAATTGCATGTGGTCCAATAGTTAATCCGGAATCCTTGAGAGATAATGTGCCTACGATAGATAATCAGAATCATGTTCGTGATGCAAATTTACCATCTTCTATGAATCTGCATCACCATTCAGATGTCGCACCTGATGCGAAAAATGGATTGGAAGTTCCTGTAGCTCGCGCTAGCATTCTCACTAATGCGAAAAGTCCGATATTAACACATAATGCAAGCTATTTCGGACAACAAGTTCCTCCCAATTCTTTATGGCTCACTCCATCTCCTAACCAAATTCCTCGGATGCCTAGTAACCTGCCATATAGTTTGAACGCAACACAAGCTCCGTTTCCCGGTATACCGTATCCTCCTCCAAATGTCCTGATGCACCCATCACCACCTAATAACTATCTACCCCCAAACACTCAGAGCCATACACTGTCTAATGATTTTCGCTTTTCGCTTCTAAACAACTGTCCTCCGCCAAATAGTAATTACCGAATTTGTCTGCCACCTCCAAATATTTACTATTTACGAAATCGCTTACCTGTACATATTTCTTATCTTCCTCCAACTTATAACGGTTTTCCACAATTGCCAAACACTCAGTGGCCTTCCACAAATAATCGTATTCCGCTACGTCCAAATGTCAACTGTCCTCCAGGAATACTTAACAATTCAACAAATATTCCACCTACTTTGAACCAGCGAGCTTCCATGCCTATGAATTCGATAACTAATTGCATTACTGCTAATCTAAACAAGTCTGTAGACATAAATCAACAGAACAGTGCAATGATTGTATCTCCTCTCCATGGTCTTAATACTCCTACTCGAAATTTGGCTCCAACTTCACAACGTCAACGGCAACGGTAAGCAACTTTGTAATTTTTTTTATCTAAAAAAATTTTTTTTCAATCGTATAATATTTGCAAGTTTCTATTGCAGTTTCTTGTGAAATGGAATGCATTACTCAAACTTGAGGTAGTGATTAATTTCTAGACTGTGTTGATTTTTTTAGTTACTAAAAAATATAGTAAAGTCAAAACATTACTGATAAGGTGCATTGTAAAATTCTAATTAGGAGTTAGGTTTTTTAATTTCTTCGCGATTCAATTCGGATAGAGGACAATAAGTGCAATTAGAGTACCAAAACATGCTTTGAAACAGTTTTTTATTCATCTTTTTGTTGACATGTTATTTACATTTACTTATATGCTACTAAGAGCTCTTCAGAAAATAACATTTTGATTCTCTTAGAAAAGTTGAAAGAAAATTTTTGAAATAATAAAATGATGATGTAGTTCTAATAAAAGTTAGAAAAATGATTATCAGTAGTAATAATGATTAGTAGCAATTGCCATCACAGAGGTCGAATTTTTAGAGAGAGAAATGCTGTTCCAAGCAAACTTTAAAGTAGTTAATTTTATCATTTTATTCATCTATTTTTTTTCCTCAAGTCTACTTACTTCCATTCTTTAATTACAATTTCATATTATTGATGTTTTTAGTTTTCCATGATTTATTGATAATTTTGAATGCTAGAAAATGCATGGAAAGATACATAGTGTAAGAATTAAAAAATTTGGATATTGAGCGATTGACATGAAAAGTAGAGGCAGTAATTTGCATATAATACATGTATGAATAACAGATAATAAGCAACTTTCTCTAGTATAAAGTTCATTAGTAACAAGTTTGGTATTGGTGGCTGGCATCAAACGATCGAACCAATTGTCTAACATGATTTGTTCAGTGGTATATACTCATCGAAGACCTAAACAATACATCAATGCCCAGTAGTTTACAGTTCATTTCTGAATACTTTTTTGTATTTATATCTTCAATATTTTTTGCCATTAATAATGACTGTTTTTATTCATTTTACATTCTAATATTTTACCGATCGCCTTGCGTGCTGATGTACATGATAGGTAGCGCTTCTTAACAAAGGAAGAGTACGGTACTGTTGGGTAAATGTTTAGGTTAGTGCTGATTAATGATTAGGTGAGTAGTACTGTAGTGAGAGCTGAATAGATAATGAATGACTCTCTATACACATATATAACGTGTATAAAATGTATGCATACAAAGACAACTGTTGCATTGATTGATGCAACGCTCTCTACATAAGATATAACCTGAAAGAGTGACGTGAAATGAAGGAAAGGCGTGATAGATAGGAAATAGCGTGAGCTCTGATTTTAGCATTTCAACAATTACTTACGTGATAAGATTAGCAACGACTTTTATGTTTCTTTCAGAATCTTCAGGAATTAATTGACTGTTTGAAATGCCATTTAGAGTTGTAATTTCAACAAAAAAGATGTGAGGAAATTGCTGTCATTTTAGAAATTGAGTACACATTAAAGCTTATTTATACATATATAACAAAGAGGTATGCATAATACAAACATTGCAAGTAATATCCCTGCGTTTTGAGACAGGATCTTTTCACAGCGGTACAGGGTGCTTCGTGTATGTGTGTGTAGAGTGCTGTGTGTGTATAAATATATCAAGTAAATTAGGGGGCATCGAGTATTGCAGCACTATAGATGCAATGATGGAAGCCTGCGTGGTGCAAGCGTAATGAAAGAAGGCGATCGGAGGGTGAGAACTATGACTAACTGAGTTGCGAGTTATTATGTGTCTCTGTTGTAAGTATTCAAGTGGTGCAGTTCTATAACTTCTAAGTAGTCATATGGATGTCAGGAATTCAGGGTAGGGACAATATGAGTATAGGAGAGCTAATATGGGAGATATGCGTAATCGATATTAATGGCTATCCACTAGGTCACCGACCTGTAAGGTCAAAGTGGGAGCGATTTGGCCTGCTTGCTAAGTTAACCACAAGGTGAGGTAAGGCAAGGTGAGATGTGGTGGCCTCTCACATGTCCTCAATGTTGGGATTAGACCTATTTCGGACTACATTAACATTTTCGATGTCCTCAAATTTCATTCTTTTTACTGTGATTTTAATCATCTCTGATATAAGCAACTTTGAAATTTTATTTACTTGCACCAAAGGAGTAAATTTAAAAAAACAGAGCAGTAAATGACTGCTTCTATTTTCTTTTTCTATCTCATCTCTCATTATATTAATCTTTTCATTTATAAATATTAAACTCATACTCAATTTCATATTTTTGATTTATTTGTTGTGATCATTCATGTTATTTCGCTGTATGCCTACGTGTTAATTTTTAGAAACTTTCGACGTACTATGTCCAGTGGTAACCCGAGAGGGAAACCAAGAAGAAACGGAGTTTCAGGTAATTCACAGTCTTTTTTAATTCGATTTTATATTATGCAAAACTTGTATGCCAAGTTTCCTAATGATAAATTTACGTAAAGTCGTCATCAAATAAAGAGCACGTTGAAGAAACGATCTATAAAGAATTGATAGCAATGGGGGTGACAACTAGTGACCGATCCAAACACTAACTCTTTACCAGCTGCAGTTGTAAAAGCATTTGGCTGAGCGTTCGACCTGAGACAATAGTTGCCTGTCATAATTACAGTATTTTTCCAACGATTGATCCACTACATACACTTCTTTTTACTTCATCATTTTTGGTCCTCCATTCCATGTTGGCGTCGTTCAGCTCTTCCACTATATATTATGAGATTTTTTTGATGCAAGCATTCTTAGCAATTGTTTCTAGAAACTATTCATCTAATTCCATAGCCTACAAATATTTCAGCTGTTTAAGACTTTAATTCGTTTAAATCTTAATTTGTGGATTAATTTATTATCGATGACCGATTCTGTGACAATAGATTAACACTTCTTCTACCTAAAAATCAGTAGCAGTACATAACATGCATGTGTTTAAATCTAAATGAAGGTATGTAGTAAGTCCGCCGTGATCAAATAAAGATAGCTCTTCATGTGCTGTTTAATGTATTGACAATAGTTAATGACCACTTTTGTATTAGGCCGAGAATTTCAATATCCTACATTGATTTAGCTCATATAATCACTTTTTTATTTATTATCACAAACACAATGCTGTTATGAGCTTCGTATCCAGTAAAGTTCTGTAATAATAACTCAACTTCGCAAATATTCAAGGAAAGATACTTTTTTAAATTCTTCATTTCCCAGTTGTTCCCAGTTATATATAAGCTTTATGTGGAAGCTCTTATATACACTTTTTTATACGTTATGAGAGAAGTAACTTATGGAATTTTCAGATTATAATACTCAGCACATAGTAAATACCCAAGTACCGACTGGAGTACTGCCCCCTGGACAACCCCCACAACCCATAGTTAATGGTAATGCAGGGCAACCCCCTCAACAATCAATTTCATTTGCGATACCAAGTGTGGAGAACTCAATGCCACCATATCCTACAAACCACTATACCACAAGCGCCCGGATGCTTTCTAGGAATCTCCCGTAAGTATGATGTTTCAAATTCAAGTACGATAAAAGTTGAAGATGAAAACATAGGAAAGGAATTTTTCCTTTCGAATGCATAAGTTTAACAAATTTATTAAAGGTTATTACAAAGCAGTTTCATTATTACACCACTAACTTATCAAAAGTATTATATGGTCTCATTTAGTAATCCAAGCATGCAATTTGCTCCGGGTGAGGTCCATGTTGAAGGGACACGCCCACAACAAGGAAATCACCAGATAACAATACATCCTGTACCGCAACAAGCTAGATATCAAGCACAGGCTGTACAGCCTCAGCAAAGTTACCCACCTTCTCAGGTTACTCAAGCTTATTTAATGACGCTATATTTTTGTTTTAGACAAAAAAGCTTTTATACGAAGTCTAAGAATCTAGAATAATAGCGTCTTCAACGTATTCCGAAAGTTGTATTTGCTACTTGCTAGCTGTCGAAAACTTTGAGCACTTTTAAATCTTAACAGTAGCAATCAATAAATCCCCATTTATATCGGAATAAGTTTTTTAACTTTGGAATTATACATGTGAACCTGGCATGCGAAGGATTCAAATTCATCAGAATGAATCTGATAAGCTTCAAAATATCCAGCATATTTGCAGTTGCCTTATTCGACAGCTCCCCCAAGCCCGATGTACAATTCTAATATCATGTACAGTGCGCATAGTTTCATCTCCAATAACCCACATCCATTTTATTATCCGTCGTAAGATTCTTTTATTTTTGAATTTGATGAAAGATATTTAAATGTCTTTTACATGTCAACAGAAAGCCCTTTCAATGAAAATAATATTTTCGGCTTAAATTTTCCAAAATGTAGTGCACATGATTGTTAATAATAGCAAAAAAATACTTTTTTTAGGGTGGTGCCCCAAGCAAATGTCTATTCGTACTTTTCTGCTCAGCAGCATGGGTACATGAATCCAACTGTACGCATGAATGTGGGTTATAATCAAAATCCTATAATTATGCCGGCTCCCCCAGCTGCACCACAACCGACTGCTCCTCCAACAACAACAGCAGCGACTGTAATAGCAAGTGGTTTGAATCAGCAACCATTGCAACAGTTGACGAAAACTAGGAAGATTCTGTCCATTGTCGATCCTGTAACTAATGAAGTAACGAACAAAGATGATATAATAAGGCTGGAAATGGAACAGCAATTAATGGTACAACAAAATGCTGATAATATGGAATCTGGTGAATTTCATTTGCAGATTTCTGAGCCAGTTGTTATCTTTAAGTGATAATGCTCTACCAAGTGTTTGGAGGTAGTCATAATTTAAGATTTCAAATAATGCTTTGAGATTTCAATTATAATTATCTTCAAACATTCTATAATATATTGACATGCATTCCTAGTCACATCAAAAAATTCCAGTCCTTATATATTATGTCAAAGTAGGTTCTTATAGAACAAAAATTGAATAGCTGTTAGATAAGTCTTGTTGCTAAGTGTTGCACAGAACACTAGGTGAATATGACTTATAACTTCATAGTTTTTGTCAGTAATATTAAATACCAACTGTGCAACTTCTACGACCACGATTTTATCACTTTCTTTCATTGCTTTCAAAAGATGGACTTGTAACTGTTAATACTGTGTAAATAAGTTTCAGTTTGCAGAGAATTGGCGTTGTAGAAGCACGAAAATGAAATAGTTTCATGGACAGTTTTGAAAATAAAATAGTTTTATGGACCTCTGTGGTTATATTGATCCCCTTTTTTGATATGGCAAGACCTATCCGGCAGCTATTCAATTTTTATTTTAGAAGAACTTATTTACAGAGTAGAGACTCGTAATTGATTTTTATATATCTTTTACTATCGTTTAGCGCTGCCTCAGCTTGATTAACTCACTGGATTGCATGATTTTCTGTGTACATGAGCACAAGTAATGGAGTAAAAAATTCGCCTTTGTACTTCCCTGTGAATTAGAATTGCCTCACGTCACCATAGAAAATGAGACGTTTTAGATGTTATGTGATATCCATTGTTGAATGTGGAAGAGATCAGGAATTATGTTGCTTTCTTTATTTTAACAAAAGTGGGAGAGAAGAGATGAAAATTGAGATTGAGATGCAAACGACAATAACTAGAACAGCTTGCTTTTATGATTTGAGAAACAAATTCTGAGTTCATTTTAAGGCGCGGCTAAAGTAATGTTACGATTAAGAAGCATTTTGAATGCAGTTAGAATCAGGAAGCAGAAGATGAAAGAACAGCTTTTTATATGTACATACCTATTATAAAGAAGGATTTTGTAAAGTAGAGCGAATTGTTTCACTGGAAATTCGTCAGATTGATAGTTCCGCAACTGGTGGTGGTGGTGGTGGTGGTGGTATGAGCAATACAAGTGTTGTAGCCGGTCTTATAATTGTACTTTTATCTGATAGTAAGCTGGGCCGTATTGAAAATGTAAAAAATAACAATGATACTTGGGGATTTATTTCACAACAATGCACAAAGCACTTAAAATACTTGCTTAATAGTCGACAGTTACATATTGCAACGCAGTAACAGTAGCTACAACGAATGAAACACGAACACCGTTCTAACAAAATGTAAGTGAAAAGTGCCGAGTGAGTTATGAACATATGGCGTGATTTATACGATATGTGCAGTATTGAATAGAATGCATGAAAAGTAAATGAAATATGCAAATCTTTGGCATGCCACATGTATGGGTTCAATTCTTACATGAATTGTTCGAATGCCGTGGATAGTAGTGGGGTCGGAATAGGAGAAGAAGCGGTAGGGAGGGTGGCATGTGTTATTGAGATAGACAGGGGACGGGGAGGGGGGGTGTAAAGATAAAGTAGCAGGTAGAGGGAGAGAAGGGGAGGAGAAACAAGGAAAGAGAGGAAGGCAAGGGAAGAACGGTTTTTTTCCTGGTAGGTGAGTATTTGAAGGTTGGGGGTGAATTAGAATTTGTAGTTATTTCGAGGATTGTAGGGTATTTCAAGGATCGTAACAAGTTGATACAGATGGGTGTAGTGCGTATTTGTTTCAAAGTATTGTAGAGACGGATTGAAGAAGAGTTGAGTGAAGTGAGGTTAATTAATTAGTTGATGTGCTGAGTGAAGGAGGTTGTTAGTGTTTATATTGCTCAGAAATGTATTAGCATGAGTGAGATGTAAAGGGCAAGTAGAAAAGGAAGAGAAAGTCTAGTAGTTAGTACTGCTGGTGGTCATGGTGATGATGAAGTAAATGGTGTCAGTAGTAGCGGGTGAGATTGTATTCTTTATTTCTGTAGGAGCAAGTAGAAGTACATGTAGGATGATTGCAAGAGTGAGAGCAGAAGAAAATGTATGCGTTCACTGTCAAACTTTTACAAGTATACTGCTTAACGTCTTCTTGTTCCTAAATTTGAATCATATACTTGAGTTTGAGAATTGATATGTGGAAGTTGCAAAGTATTAGTAAGTTGAAGTAAGTAATTTACTGACGATATTATCCTTAAGAAGCTTTCAGGTTGCGTGAGTCATAGCGAAGCAGTAGCAGTTAAGGATGGTAATTCAGTTATAACTATATTAAGATTACTAGTCTTAAATTCTAAATGCATCCATTATCTCTTCATCAGTTACCCTCATCAAATTATTTAACAAATAGTTATACTATTGTTGCAAGTTACCGCCCATTTTTTATCAATCAGAAGTATTAAGTAACTGATATTGTCAATATTGGTAATATTTTTTCATGACTTTGCTTTTAGTTCCTTCATTTTTGTTTCTTGCCCGCAAATCAAAAAATATTCAATAAATGAGTGGACTTTTAAACTGTAAGCTATTCTCATGTGTATAGTTACATAAGTGCCATTGTTCTCTGTCGAACGAAAGCAAGTGTCAGTGTCAATGTTAAAAATGGTTTATATTTGCATTCCAATATTTTCTCCCAAGTTATAGTTCTTCTCAAGGTAATAGTCGTCAGAAATTGATCTTTGAGACTTCTTGAGGTTTGCTATATCTGTGGAAAGGTGACTCATTTGAATGTCGAAAAGAATCATGACTTGGCATTTTCGTCGTATTTATTTTGATGCATACTATTGTAAAATGTTGTTAATCATGTTTTGGTAGTAGAAAAAGAAATGCTATCTTGTCTGGACAAAAAAGAGAGAACGAAGGAAAGAGTAGGGAGGATAGGTTGACTACTGTCTGTCATAAAAATGTGTAATCGTTGAGATTGAAAAAAAACATTACAGCTTAAATCTTACCATGCTTCTCCTTAATATAATTTTCTTTATGTCTTTACAGGTAGTAGAAGAGGGCTGGAACTAAAGCGAGATCAGCAGTCACCATTTCCATCTAATGCATCTCAGAAATTCACGTTGCAAGTAGCACAAACTGCATTGGGTGGTAATGTTACTTCTGTTCCTCCACCGATCGTAACTTCTCCATCAGCACCACCACAATCCTTTCGGAATGAAACAGTTGTGGAGGTAGTACCACGACCATCCACGTCAGCCCCGCCTGTATCAAATTCTACTTCATCGGAAGAAGTATTAACTTTAAAAAATATATCTTTTAAATCGCGTTTTTGATCAGAAATAAATCTTATAATTAGAAATGAGTTTTTACTTTGACTATTGTGATGTTGTACAGTTTTTCCATCATAAATATCGTACTGAGAGTGTTAAGATTGAAAAAAGTGCTCCACCTGTATTGTCCACTATGGTTGGAAAAGCTCCCGCCACCGAACAAACAAAAAACATGGAGCAAGATGATACTATAACAGCTAAAGTTGAAGGTTGGTTTAACTAGCCTACGTGATATGAAAGAAAATTTCTTAAACTATTAAACAAATGTAATTCAGTTTTGATTGTAAGAGGCTGCATTTTTAGAGGCACTTGATCACAAAGAATTGAGATGAAAGTGTTTCTTTTAGTTTTTGTTGATTTATTTTCAGAATCCGATGAAGAAGTAGAGAAAAATACTGAACAAAAAGAGGGATCTCAAGAAAGTACTAGAGAGCAGGCTTTTTTAGTAGTGAAGAGCGATGTGGATCGAGATATAAAAACCACAAACATCTCGGATGACCCATCGCTCGATCAGCAAGATAAGCAGTCTGAATTATCGCGATCACTACCTAAGCTGTTCGATGATGAGAATGACTATGTACCTTTATCAATGCAGTAAGTTTTTCATGCCATGCATCTCGTCAATTTCTTTTGAAGATTAAGAAAGTATAAGTTTATGCGTGAAATAACAGTGAATAAGGATTCATACCTAGTCTCAAAGTGAATTGTAGATAATATGATGCATGCAAGTTGACTATTTTCAGAACATTTTCTGTCGTAGAAATGGTTCCAGAAGAAGAGGTTGAGAATGAAGAAAAGTGTCCAGAGGTGGAAGAAAGCTCAGAAACCGTGCGAACAAAAAAAGTGAAAGAGTACGCTGCAAAGCAAAAGGAATTGTTGCAGGATACGGTAAACTTGAAAGCTTGACATTTGTTAATAAGTAGGAGTCTTCTGGAACATGGCAAATTTCTGAGTGTTTTATAGTTTTATAAAAAGTTACTATAACGATCATGACTAAGAAGACGAATGAAGACCCTAATTCGAGAACTCTTTTTCTTATTTTGCAAATATTTCACATTGTAATTGTAGAATTATCATTGGTGTTCTTCATTTCGGTCTTTACAGAACTGTGTTAGGTTGGATGAACAGGTATATGGACATGATTATTTGTTGCTCATACGAGATGTTGTCAAAGATCTTTTTCTTGAATCAGTTTTACCCGTGAAAGCTTCTGATTTAAAAGATCTCGGCATTGACATTGCTTCTGCACCTGCCAATGGTACAATTACAGACCGTCAGGTTAGATTATGTTTAGTCCTAAGATTTGAAGGATGTGTTAAAAATTTTTCACAATGTATTCCAAAAGCAACTAGTTTTCACATATTTAGTAAAGGATTCGTAAATTATTGAGTTACTACTTTAGTTCTTAATTCATTTGTTCTTATTTTAAGCGTCGTTTTGATGGTGCAGCAGGTCCTGGTGCTAGATTTATACCTGGTTGGGTTGACAAAAGTCAGTCAAAACCAAAAGCGGTTTGTTTCCTCAATTTTGATTTAATATATCTAGACTTTTCAATGTAGACTCTGTCATCACTCTTTCTTTGTTTTTTTACACACACTACGGCCTTTAAAACTTCTGGGTTGTGTACAAATTACGATAGGTTTTTGTTGCTCTTTTCTCAGTGTAATTTCAAATCATTGTATAAACCCTGCATATTGATTTAAACGAAGGTATTATATTGTTAGGTTTTTTCAGATTGTTATATTTTACTTATTCTGTCTAGAGAAAGACATTTTTCAGTATCATGGAAGACTCAGTGATCGAACACATTCAAATCAACGTGTTGATAGGGATCGTAAAAGAGTTCGTTATTGATTTTCCGACTACTTTTACAGTATTTTTCTGCTATACTAATTCAGTTATTTTCTAATGCGCTTCAGATGTTTCATTGCTTTAATCATATTTTAGTCAACAGTGAGTCGACCATCCATTGATCGGCCTAATCGTGAACCAGTGAAATTGCACAGAGCTGCAAATGCATGGAGGCCTGAAAGGAATCTTGATGCTAATAAGGTAAATTAAAAATTATGAAAAAATTACTACTAAATTCAAGGAACTGTGCTGGCAAACTTTTATGTTATCAGTATTTAATTGGTCTGATTTTTTTAGAAGTTGTATAAAGAAGTGCGCAGCTTACTAAACAAACTGACACCGTCGACATTTGAAGAATTGTCGGGTGATTTTCTGAGATTTGAAGTTCATAAGAACGTGCAACAAATGGGTGAAGTAATTAACATTATCTTCGATAAAGCTGTCGAAGAACCAAACTTCTGTGCCCTTTATAGGTATTTCATTCAGTTTGCATGTGCGTCTAGATTATTTTAATAAAAGCAAGGCAAAGTTCCAAAAAATAAACGCATGTGAGAATGATTTGTCATGTTGAATTATTTCTAAATTAGTGGTTGATAGTAGCTGAATTATATATGCCGCATATTATAAATTTTTGTGGTAGTGATTTTAGGCATTTAACCCATAACAGGGGCGGTTACAGAGCATAAAAGTGTTATTTGATTATTTAATTGCATATTCATGAAGTTTATAAGAAATATGAGACTTTGGGTTTTTTGTCAATTTGATTTATTGGATTTGGCTCGTTTAAGTGATTTGTGCAAAATGCAAGTCGTCAAAGAATCAAACGGTGCCAAAGATAAATCGAATTTTCGGAGTGCTCTATTAACTCGATGTCAAAATACATTTGAAGAGAAACGAATGTTTGATATTGCTATGAAGAAAAGTCAGTTGGATGTAGAAACTGATGTGAGATTTTCGTTCTTTTATAATCTTGACTATTGTTAAAGAATGAAGATATCTGCTTAAGATGTTATGTTTACAAGAGAGGCATTTTACTGTGAATAATCCGAACTATATATGATGTTAATTGATAAAAATTGAAAACATGGGCATGATAATGCAACGAACTCTCTTAGGAATTAATTACTTCTTGATCATGCTGTATGCAGCAGTCATTTATAGAGTTTGTTTATTGTAGATTGCAGACAGTTTTGGTTTATAATATATCTTGGAAGACTTCACTGATGCCATCAATTTAATTTATTCTTAATTTCAGGAGAAAAAAAAACGAGAACTTAAAATAGAAGTGATGGAACTGGAAGCGCGGGAAAGACGGAGAATGCTTGGCAATATAGGATTTATTGGACAGCTCTACAGGCATGAATTGATAGTCCCACGAATTTTGAATTGGTGTATAGTTCATCTGCTCAAAAATCATAGCGAGTCACCGGTTAGTGTTACAAAAGAGTTTTATAATTTTATTTTTGAACGAAAATGTCGGTTTTCAGAATTTTCCACGAATGAACCTTGCACATGAGAAAATGTCCTTTAATTTATAGAATGGTGATGAGGAAAGCATTGAGTGTGCGGTGAAAATGTTAGAAGCAGTTGGCAAGTTGGCTGATCGCCATTATCAGCAACAGCAAGCGTTGATTGCTGGAGGATTACTGGATCCACTGGAAGTACAGAAGGATGAATTTAACACGAGTCTTTATCTTGATCACTTGAAGGAGATTTCTAATCAAGTGTCAAATCGTGTTCGCTTTTTGATTCTAAATCTTATTGAACTTAAAAATGTAAGTCTTTTACTTATTTTATCAATAATATTTCAATAAATTGAATAAAGTTAGGTTTTTCAAGAATCTGTAAAACGGTGTAGTCACGATATATGCCTAACCTCACTTTATCATGAGTTATGTTGCAATGCGGTTGTTAGAAGTCATATAGTATAGAACGTTCTTGATATTTTATAGGTTCTTAGTAACTAGTATTCTTTGACTCTAAATTAAGATCAAAAAGTTTTCAACAAACATTTTCTTTATTTTTTCCAGAACAATTGGGTGCCAAGAACATCTGTAAGTGGGCCAAAAACTCTTGATGAGGTTCATGATGAGGCTCGAAGAGAGGAAATGGCTAATAGGTTACAACGAGAACAAGTAAGTTTTTAAGATTGTATACGAATCATATAATGCGCCATTGATTTCTGAAAACCACTTTAATTTTAGTACACCAACAAAAAACGTTATGAGGGCCGAGCTTCATTAGACAAACGCAATCAAAAGCCTGTATTGATTGGGAGGCAGTCGCAGGATGGTCGCCAGTATGGTGTGAGGGGTAGTGATTCCAGTCGTGATCAAAAAGCCAGAGCAGCTGGAGCAGCTAGTCTTGTTGCTAACACTGCTAGTAGAAAGAATCAAACATTGAATAGTGTATGTCTTCATTCTTATGTATGCTTTAATGGAATCAAAACTATTTCTTTATTAATTGTGATGTATAAATATCTGCATATTCATTTTTTGTTGTAGGTCGACCAGCCACAATTACTTGGTGCTCGGCGACCGCTGTTTGCGGGTGGTGCTATAGGTGGAGGGCAGCAGACAGATAGAAATATCTTACCTCGTGTTCCTGGCCGAGGAGTAAGTCGTGGCCCTGTAGCATCTAGAGATAATTCTGAGCCTTCTAGCAGAGAGCCTTCAGAGTCGAGAAAACAGTCCAGAGATGGTGATCGCATTTCGGTTGGTTTTATTATAAGAACCAAATGGAATAGATTTTTCAATCGTTCTAAAGTATAATTTGATCTTCTTGAACTTCTAAAATTATTCTAAAGTAAAATTTGATCTTATAGGCAGTTGCATCCAATACTATACCGCATAGTGCAAGCGCAGGCACATTCGTTCGAGGGTATACGGGTGCAACACCAAGTGGATCATCACCGACAGAGGATGAAAAAGAGAACAATCAAGTGGAAAGAGGAGGCGAGTTTGACGAAAAGAAGATGCTTGCGCTGTTGCAAACAGAAATACATGAGTACTGCAATAATCTTATCACCATTGATCAGGTAACTCTGCTTATTACTTTCTAGAATTTAATGCAATCGTAAAGTCAGTATATCAATTATTTCCTTTTCTTTAAACATCTTTGTATGCTACGACCTCCATTTTGTAGATATTTGAATCAATAATTGAAGCAGTAACTGTGGAAGGTACTGAGGATATTATTAAATATCGTGTTCAACAAGCATTTCGACTTCTGGTAAAAATAGGTGCGGAAAAAATCAGCGGTGAAATTCGAAATTCACGTAGGCGCTTCGTTGGGCAAGTAATCTGCAGATGCTTACAACGAGCCGATATAAAAAGCATTGGACTTCAAGGGTGTGTGCTGTATATTATATCCTACCACACGTTTATGTGTAATTTCATATATTGCTTGGAAAGTAAATAAATAATTCAAAGGAAATCATGAATTTAAATGTATTGGTTGAATAACTAATATTTTTCATTAAACTTTCAATGTTATTTTATATATATATAATATTGCTTAAGTCTATTTTCTCAAGTTGTTAGTTTTAATAGCATGTGATTTGTCAATATTATGAGTGTGGAATTTCCATTGTCTTATTTTGCTACTAAGAAAGTTCCGGAAATCACTTCATACTTCTGATTGCAAATGCCTTTAGATACCGAATACACTACTGTTTTTAGAGTGGCTGACTATTGCATGGAAGTAGTAGAGATGGAATTATGGGAAGATAATATGCTGATATGGGATTTGGTTGCTGAAGTAATAAGTTGGTCAATAATGTGTGAAGTACAACATTTTGAAGGTCCTCGACCTTCGCTCGGTGACTTCAGAGAAGCATTCAAAAATGCTGATGCAGATTCAAGGAAACCTAATATTCTCCTTGTAAATGTCCTTAAGCGACTTGTAAGTTTTTTAGTGTTACATCTTTATTTTCTTTGCATTAGGTATTCAAACTGTAATAAGATATCTCTACTTTTTGATGATTTGTAGGTGGAGATAGAGCATGAACGTGATGGACAGGTTTCATCAGCAGGAATGGCATTTGACGAAATTAAGGATTTGCATTCAGATTCACTGGTGAATGACCTCAAGTCCTGTCAGTTACCGCTCGGCAAAAATCTTTACCAGTTATTGCTCAATTAAATGCCACTTTTTTCCGCACTAACCGTCTTCATGTTTCATTACCGTTCAATATTTTTATATGTTTCAGTTGTATACTTTTGCCAAGTTCTTAGGCCATCAAATATTTTCAATAATTTACTTTTTTAATGTTTTTTAGTCTCTTTCCGTATAGATATTCGCCTGAATACAAATTTAAAATATTAAATCGTCAATAATTTTCGGCAGAGATATCTGTCTGAATTCATTTTATCTTCAGCTTCATATATCATTTTAAAACTCATTCTAAAATACTAAAATGAGAATGATATAAGAAAACAAACAAAAAAATATCTTATGGCCTGAAATTGTACTCGTCATTTGGAGTTGAGATATGTGATAAACATAGGTATTAAAGTGTTTTTTTTATATCTTAATTTCGTATCCTGTGTTGGAATTCGATTACTAATTAGGGTGTGAGGGTGGGGATGAAGTCGATATATTTGCTTGTATTAATATATAAGAAATGTACGATATTTTCTATAAGAGAACTTGTTTTTTGACTATTACTTTATCTATAAAGGAAATTTGCTGCACATTATGCGTTCTTTTCATTTTTTCACAACTGAAAAGGAAAAATATTTCTTTGACCTCACGTGAACTTAGATTTTGGCAATTCAATTAAATATAGTGAGTATAAAGAAACGAAAAAAAAATGAGTGAGCAAGAAATTAGGTGAGAGTGATTATGATTGGTGGTTGAATTTTTCGTACTTCGAATCGTTCAAAGTGCTTACAATGGTGATTGAACTATTATTAGGAGGAGAATAAGAAGTACTGGGAAGTGGTGTATCTAGTTTGGTTCAGTCATGTAATTGTGATCGAATTCACCAGTTCTCAGATGTAAATTATTGTTTGCTTGAAAGTGTAATAATGTTGATGAGTGCTGAACTATATGAAAATTTGATTGTCGCTACTGTAATTATCGGAGAATTATTGTAATTGGTAAAATTATTTCTATCTCATGGAAATGTAAAGAAGTGTGTACTGCAGAGGAACTTTACTAAAAGTTCATTGTAGCATCAATTGCTTATAAATTTAGTAGGTAGTCAGTCTTTAGATCCAAAATTGTTCTATGCTATTGCCACATGAGAAACTCGACCTCACTTGTTTTTTGACTTATAGTCCAACTTTTGTTTATTTCATATTCTTGAGTGCATTGTGGATTTTCTGATTTCGGAAATGACATGCTTAAGTGATAAAAATTGGAATTTATTTTCGATTTTGATTGAGAATACTAATGTATTATCTATCACACAGGTTAATCTTTTCTGCCTTATTAATTTAGGAGCTGGATCATATTCTGGTACTTATGGCTGTTTACTTTTACAGCGCGAAGATTTGTTGTGCTAGTCTGTGTTGTTTCATCCTGGTGCCATCCATGGTGACTCGGAGTGCTTCCAAGCATCTTGAGCACTGTAAATTGGATGCGTTCCATGTTGTAACTAGATGTACTGATTCCTTTTATGTGACGTGATGTATGTATAAAGTATATTATTATAAGGAATTTCAAGACTTAATATTTTCCATAAGGTCTGATAAAATTAAAACGACAGTTTAGTTTGTTAGTACACTAAAGTATTTCATGTTAAACGCATTTTAGACAAAAAGGATAATACATACAATATATTCCTACCAACAAGCTAATTTCCACTAGGCATGAATCATTTGATTTCATTTAGTGTCATGTCTACTGTGACAAAATTTTTCGTCAATACGGCATGGGAGAAAAAACGGCCATAGAAGTCAAGATTCTTGATTAAATTCTGAAATTAAAAATAATTAATAATGACAAAATTGATAAATTAAAAAGATTCATGAACGGAGATAGGGAGGCTGCTTCGCAGATTTTCAAAAAATGAAGATGAAATAGTGCTATCAATATAAGCACTCGCAATGTAATTTTTTAGTTCAAACATTTGCATATTTTGTCATACAAGTCTTAAATCATCCGAAGCATTGAATTTTTATATTGGAAAGTAATGAATATGTTAATCCGAATTTCATTTATCGACTAATTCATGCAATAGAATGTAGTGATTCGTGTTGAATGTAAGGGTAAATTTCGACTTAAATATATAAAATTACATTATATCAATAGGACGAAGTATGTGTATCAAAAGATTATTGTATCATTTATATGAAAAAAAATTTGTGAATTACATTCTTTTGTATATTTCTTTATATTTAAGTAAGTTTTTGGAGTAGATAGGGATGTAATTTTAGTTAAACTAATCTGTAGTTATTGGAGATTGCTAATATAAATTATCCATAACATGTATTTAAATTACTACTTCCTTATTCCAGCTAGCTCGTTCAGTTCATTCGCTTTTTTCGATTGGTAAAAAACTGATCACATGTTCATGATGACGATAAAATACCAAAGCTTATGAGTGACTATATTTATAATATTATTAAAGAAGAAAAGAATGCAAAATAAAATGAAAAAAGATAATCAGAAGGATCTAATACAATTTTAAGACGGAGTTAAGTTAATAAGAAAAGGTGACATATATAGAGAATTATTGTAGAAAAAGTTCCTTGAAGAAAATGTGATCTCATACTGTTATCTGAGATCACATTATCAGAATACGAAATATATCAGATCAAATTATAATTTGCTATATATCTCGCCCTAAAATATATTTACATGGTTGATTTGTATAAAATAACAAAAGCAATTGAAATTAAATTTAATTTTACTCAATACTTTACAAATTATGATACTTGTTTTCGAAAATTGCCACATGCTTTAGTAATTCCATTTTTAGAATTAAATATTTTAAAAAGCTGTTCTTAAAATATTTTATAAAAATTATTTGGACAAATATCTCACTGCAATAAAACTGAAGTCAGAATTATTCGTATTTCACCTGTACACATTTAATGTTTTTGCCCTTTATACAGTAACTCAACTTTGACCCTCCAATTCTTTTATTAATTGTATTTTAAATAATTCAAATCATGTAAATGTATTTTAAACAATGTAAGATACTGCAAAAGAGCCTTGTAAATAAATAAAATTTGTATTTAAAAAACTATAACATTTCTTACATTGAATGAAATATTTCATATTGCGCCATGAAACTACTACGAAATAATCAAAATGTCTGCAATTGACCCATTAATAAAAATGCATTGCACGGACCCCAATATATCAAGTTCTTATTATATGAGATAATACGTATCATACAAATTCATTTATTATGTAGAATATCTCATTGAACTTTTTTATCATAAAGAATGTCTCTTTCCATAATTTGATAATTAGAGTAAAATAACGCTAATAAAACAAAGTACTATTACAGAGCTAGGCACTGCATAATAAAATTCACCAACAACTGCTAGCGTAATAATCATTGTAAGACATCTTTTGGTAGCAAACAAAATTGTTTTTAAAGAATCAATGAGTAGCATCAGAATAGAAACTTGGTATGTATTACAGAAATGCAACAATACTTTCAAATTAGGCTGTACGGTGACAGAAAACAGTTTTTTTTTTCAACTGAATGAAAATCCGTCAACAATTCGTTTCACTCCCACTGGTCCTCAAAATCCAAGTGTAAGCAACATGTATTACATGAATCTAGGTTTATCTTGACGTAGAAGTACATTGTACTGATCCAAGAAGCCAAAGAAGGTAGACTAAACAAAGTGAACGCGAAAAATAATTTCGGAGAATGTTGACTCGCCTATGATGGGAGCGGTAAATCAAGCGGCAGATGAGTATGCCACTCAGAATCCCTCCAAGTAAATGACTGATTGGAAGCCAGCAACAATGCTATGAAGATATGACAAGGCAGGAGAAGTCATCGAGGTGGAAGGCAAGCATGGAAAAAAGATAAGTTTGCATAACTTTCAGACAACCCTTATAGAGTGGTATTTGGTCACGAAAATACTTGAAGGTAAAAACCTAAGGGAGGGCAAGAAGTGTAGAGAAGGATGAATCTCATACTTGCTTTCAAACGTGACTGCCATGAGGCCCTAAGCATGCTAACAAAGCTTGTGAGAGTTTATGAAAGTAAAATAAAAACTAATGATTCTGATGCGCATTGGAAATCCAAGACGTCAGATTTGATCTGTTCAGAAAGCAGTTTTATAGGAAACGAACCGAGGAACATTCTGTCAAAGTGTGGGAACAAAAAAAGTCAGAGAATTCTGGACCACGATGTGAAAAAAAACTCGAAAGTGGGAGATAATGACAGTCGGCACAATGAATATCTGGAGGAATTTGTTTCAGAACATGAAGTGCATGATCTGGAACAAATTCCTACTTCCCCATCTGAAAATTAGGATTTTAGAAGATAGTTTCTTATGTGCCCAACTGGAAAGTGGCAGGGTCTGATGGAGCCTGCAACTTCTTCATTGAGAAGTGCACTTCTTTACATCCAGATCTATATAGAGTAACAAGGCGAATTTCTCTGGATGGGGACGAACAGAACCCATGGTTCTACAAAGCAACTACCTACCTGATTGCCTCAAGGTGCCTCAAGTAAAGGCAGCAACTTCAAGTCCGTAACTTGAATGTCGAACTTGTTGACAACGAAATGTGTGGCACGTGTCATGCAGTTGGATGTTATCATGAGGAGGCTATTTGCAGATAACCATTAAAGAACTGTTACCCAAATTCAAGGTGAAAAAGAGCAAACACTGTTAAACCTGGCCGTATGTGAGAGTACGGAAACCAGTAAATCATACATGGTATGGCATTCAGTTAGTTACAAGTACCTAATTAAGTGTATTGAAAGGCTCAACATGCCAGCGTAGATCGGCAGGTTTTTGAGAAGCATTATCTCCAGCCGCTATTGAGATATGAGCTGATAAGGAGATTCTCTTGAAAGGAGTTCAAGATATAAATACCTTGGAGTAATGGAAGACAGGACTAGCCCTCTGACTCGACAAAGCTACAATAAAGTGCGAGCAGAGATTTTGGCCAGAATTGAGCAACTAGCCAAAACATTACTAAACGGCATATCAAGGCAGTAAAATGAGTACTCCATAGGCTTAATCAACCTTTATATTTGGGGGATCAAATGAAACCAGAGGATTTTCAAGTAATGGACCATGATATTAGGCAATTACTAAATAGGTACGAAATTCACAGTCAACTTGCATATTTGGAGAGACTGTACCTGCCAAGGGACGAGCCAGGACGTGGGCTTCATTGCGTTAAACAAAAGAGTGAGCTTATATTTTTAAAAGTATTATTAAATATCGTGTTCGTACTTGTAAAAAGTGCGCTTATATCTACCACAAGGGCGGCGATTTTGAAGCAGGAGAAGGCTCACAACACGTAATTAGCAAATATTGTATTCTCTCTAATACAATTTCGTTGAAAATCCAAGCATTGAAAACGTAATAGCAGTCCAGAAGGCGTTCGGGATAAAAAAGAAAACCTATCATGCAAATCTGTGCAAGATACCGACGAATAAGCATTCATTAATAACTAATTTATCAATGTCACTATGATACAGAAACATTACCTCAATAGGTAAAATGCTATCTTCAAGATGGAAATATGTTTGAAGCTGAGAAAGGCACGAGCCAATATTATATGTAACGTGTGAAGACGGTGGACCATCTGGCAACACAGTACGGGAAAATGTTATATCACGACATTCTATATTTACTGAGTCACAAATATCTGATTAAGTACATTGAAAGCCAGTAGATCATGCTTTCTAGATTGAGAAGAAACGAAACTATGATCAACTGGTTAATAAACCAGATTAGAGATAAAATGCAGGACGAAAATAATTGTTTGTGAATACTTGGCATGGGATAGTACGAGCTTCCATAAACGCTAGAGAAGGAAATCAGTTCATCTGATCCCGTCGAGACGTATATACAATCGATATTGCTCAAGAAGACGTTTGAAAGCATCTTATTCGATCAAAGCCAAGAATTCGACGAAGATGAAGCAGCGGAAATCTGCACAGTAAAATGAGCGTGGGGCGCGTGTAACGTAAAAAATGGCAGAATACAATCCAGTATATATATATAATATATAATCATCAGTTGAAAATTATACATTGTCACATATACAAGATTCTTTACTTTCATAATTCTTTCACCTAATTTCGTTAGAAAGTATCAAATCCAGACTCATTTCATGTTAACCAAATGGCAAACTTGACAGTAAAAAATCCTAAATTGAGTAGTAAGGATAATGAGAGCAAATGATAGTGTCATTTACAGAATTTCGATCATGTCAGATGTGTACAATTGACTGTGAATCTTACAACCTTTTAATCAAATTAATATTTGAGTGAATTGAAGTGCAAAATCTTACGCATAAGATATTTTAGTCATCTTCTAATGTCTGTATTATAGATTGCATTACACATTTCATTTTGACATCTTACATTTAACTTTTAATTGGTTTACATAAAAATTTCTTGATTTTATTTATATACACATACATACGATGCTATTAAAAGTAATGTGTGTCATCAGAATCACCAAAAATATTTACATCTTACAGTTTTCAATTATAAGTTTTAGGATTAAAATTAAGTAAAATCCAAATTGCAATTAAATAACACAGTATCAAATCGGTCGATGTTTTTGAATGAAATTTCGTTGCATCACATAAGTACTATCTTTGGTTTGCTCATGACTTAATAATTCTTTCTTTACATAGCCTGTTGCACCCTTAATTGGACTGAGCAATGTACCGCAACCTCGAAAACCAATCTACAAAATTAACTTTGAATTTAACAAAAATGAATGTTATTTATTTATGACAAGAACATTTTGGATGCAACAATAAGAAATAGAAGTAATTCTTTGATTACCTTCAAATTCAATCCTTGCATATACTTTATTTGCTCACTATTCTATCTATCTATGTGCAGTTGTATTACTTAACAATTAGATCTTTTATAGCACTATTCTAAAATAAAATACGATCATGTGATCATATAAGTCATCTCTAAATTGCAATAAATGTTTTCTCATATAATTTTATTAAAAAGAAAGGAAACGCAATTGAGTACTTTTTCATCAGAATCTGAAAAAATGCTGAAGATGAATGTGCCTTCATATCGAATTTGTCTGTTGATATCGTGTAGAAATGATGACCGACAATGCAGACCAGTTCTGCGGTTACATGCTCCAAGTGGTATCGGTACAAAACACAATGAAACACCGTAATTTGCACCCGCAACACTTAGATATGTGTCAATTAACTCAGTAAGAGGTGGACCTGAAAATAGTTTCATCGCATACGGTAATGGTACTTCTACTTGTCAATTATATTAGTGACTAGAAAAAGTGTGAGATTCTTTGAATTTTAATTGAGTAAATAGTTAAATATAACAAGAAGCACGTATAAATTGAGAAGGAAAGCAGATTTTGCAATTAAAATCTGATTTGTTAACAAGAAATTGTTATTTGAAATATGAAAAGATGTATACTTCTTTCATTTTCACTTTAACAATAATGAATTTTCACCAACGAAAATTTGGTTGTTGTGAACACACCAAGAATTTCTCGAGTATCCACGCAATTTCCACCAAGAATTGCTTTACGCGCAATCGGTGACCCTACTGAATACGCAATTACGTCAACCCTTGTACCCGTATATTGTCGTACAGCGATTATCATGCTTCTACAAAAATTATAATTAATTAATTAGAATATTTGTCGGCTGACAGCTAAATCCATTAATTGCTACACAGAATTGCATTTTAAGTAGTAAAGGAAAAAAGTATTTTAACATCAAAAATTTTTATTTGTATTAGTTTTAGTTTGTAATTAATTAATTTTTAATTTTGGTAAAAATTGCAAACATTAATTTTTTCAAATAAACAAAAATTTTTGGTTATTTTATTTACTCCAAAAATTTTACTTTTTCGAATAAAGCTGCATCAAAGTGCTACAAAAAATAAGATCCAATGGACCTTTTGATTTATGACCTCATTATTCTTAATAGTAAATTAATGTTATAAATATACCTGATTTGTTTAACGTATGAACATTTCATATCAACGAGCGCAATAGGTGTTGTTCCCCCGTCACCCCATGTAGTGCCATATATATCTGATTGATTATATCCTTTTGAGAGAAGAAAATCTACCATTCCCTTAGAAACACCTATTTATGCCTTTTTAAAGATAATGTTTTGAATATTATCAAATAATTTTTAAACACTTTGGGTATAAAATTGTGGATTAGTTTGTAGCCCATTCTGTATACTGAATGTATAACAATTAAAAATTTATCCATACATTACTAATTTATTAATACTTTTAATCTATACATTTATCCATTCATATTTAATAAATTACTTCAGTTACTATGATTATATGAAAAAAAAGTTGTTGTTTTTTTTTAAGCTACAGATTGTAAACAAAATTGATAAATATTGGTAATTATCATCTGAAGGTTTTTTTGATAAACTTTTCTTTATTGAAATTAGCATACATATGTAGTAGTCACCTGTAATCCCTTAGCTGAACTTGCAGCATCATGAACCAATATAACGGCTTGATTTTTAAATTCTTCATCATTGTATCTCTTACCACCAAAACTTGCATCTCTTCCTAAATCAGTGCGTTCCAAATTTTGTACAATACCAATTCCATAATTGTTGTGTATAAATGCTCGAAAATGTGGTGTGAAGTCAGCTTGAACCCAATTTAGAATTAGTAGTAATAATAGTAATAATAGACGTAATGACAATGAATAAAATAACATGAATTCTGCAACTGAAAATATAATATATATGGCAGCAATTTTTTTTATTGCAAATAAATAAATAAAAAGCAAATCTACTTTCATCTATGCAATTATTATTTGTGATCAATTTTTGATAATTTAATTTTTGTCATTTTATACTTTTTAAAAAATAATAATTGAAATTAATCATTAGTCATAATTGATTTTGCGTATTATATTAGCAAATTAGCAGAAATTAAAAAATAAAATATTTAAAGGATTAATTTATTGAAAATTAAGGAATAAATTAAACGAATGAAAACTGTAATAAAAAGTGAGAAAATATGCAGAAATTGAAAGGTGGATGAAAAACTGCGATATAATAACGACCATTATTGAGCTGATATGTATGTATGTACATCTACAAACAGTTAATTCATTTGATAACTCCCATCTGAGCATTTTTTTCTTCACTGACAATGAATGAATGAATCATTAATCATGAAGAAATTCTTTATATTAATACAATTCCATGGAATTTTGATTTTAATCTCTACTTATCTACCTTATTTCTGTTTCTATCTAATTCTTGACATTTTTAAAAATTATTGAAAAATTAGTAAGTTCTCTTTCTTTTTTTTTTGCTTTTTTTTCAACTTCATAACTGCTGTAAAATATTAAGCATAATGCTTCTTTTAATTGTGTGCATAGATATCACGAAAAAAAAAAAAGCCTAAACGTAAATATATGTTCTATTTCTATTTTATTTTTTCCATTTGAAAATAAGTAAGTAATGGTAGATTAATATTCTATATGCCATCAATTTGTCTTCAACGTAAGTAAAATTTTCATGTGAATTCTTCGCTTACATTTCTAGCTTAATTGTATAAAATTCGCAATTTACTGCGTCCAAATTTTGCGAAAAACAACCAACATCAATTACAAATTTTCGTTAAAAAAAAACTTCTGCAAAAATTGTCACTAATTAAGAAAGAAATTCCTTGTTAATCAAACTAAAACTAAAGCTTGTTTAAAAAGTGAATAATTAATGAAGGAAAAAAAAACGACACACTAAGATATTTGACATGTAAATCGTCATTACTCACAATTAATACATCCTTATCTAAGAGACATGCTCCACTCAATACCAACCTTAACTTTTTTTCAAATATTACCAAGCTCAGCAATAGTCAATTGGTATCAAAAAAAATTCTGGTATGAAAAATTGACAGAGTTGAATCAACTCATAACATTTTTTGTTACAATAATAATTTGTAATACAGTACTCATGTATGCTTATCATGGATCAGCAAATTCCAATAACTACATCTTGTAACCAACTGCATGTCCTAATTTACTGCTTCACTATATACTTTCAATCAAATAATAACCACAATTCTATATTTTCTTAGACAGTAAATCTGCAAAATAATGCACTCTTGAGATTAGCAATCTTTTTGACACGTCTCGTATTCACGCGGATAAGAAAAATCATTAAAATTCATTTCCTAATCTTGTAATTAATCCCTAAATTTAATAAATGCCTACATGTAATGATAACGAGCAGATTCAAATCGTTACCTTTAGATGTACTTTTTCCTACCCTTAATCACTACGCGATTCCAGATTACATGTTCATGACACAAGAAAGATGTAGTTATTGAAATTTGCTGATCCATGATAAGCATACATGAGTACCGTATTACAAATTATTATTGTAACAAAAATGTTATGAGTTGTCTCTCTAAATGCTTTATTTCACCTGAAATGTGTTTCCAAGTTCCATCTAACGTCACCCACTGACAACAGAATTTGACTTGCTTTTTTTCTATTAAATGTTTTTCAAACTATATTTTACAGCATTAAATCACAAATATATGGATGGTACGAAAATAAATAAGCACATAAATAAATAAATAAATAATGACAACAATAATGATAACTAAGGAATGAATATTACAAATTTATAATAAACCATTCTAAAAAATTTCAGTACATGGGAAATAAAAAAAATGTTTGACATGATATTTTTTTGCAAACATTTATTTCGATTTTCAAAGTTGTCTGCTAATGACACCAATAAATATGCCTTTAAAATATGCAATTACGACAGAATAAGCAACTCTTATGTCATTTATGTGGAAATCTGCATGTTATAGAAAATACAAAAACATTTACGGATAAAAATGATAAAAAACTTTCAGACATCTCAACTGTAGAATATGCCAGTAGAAAAAAAAAAACTAAAAATATTAAAAAAACTGAAGAGGAAATTCCTTATAAATAATATCCCATAGAAATTTTACATGACTACTTTTCTTTCGGAACCAAATAAAAATTATTGAATCTGATCATTTCCCTTAGGAGACTTCTATAATTCAATACAACTATTTTGCATGTTCTTAAAAAATAATAAAGCAATCAGTCAATAGTAATCCATAATTTTGGTACATGTAACAAAAATTTAATGAATAAAACATTGGATGAAATTTCAATTATTAACAATAGCATCCCGCAGTGATTCCGAAATACACCAACCTCTAGAGCGATCTTCATTCGTCGGTACACAACGTTCATCCCACGAACATTCATTCTAAAAATCGTATATTCTTGACTTTACGACTCCTTGAATATATTTTTGTTTTTAATTTCGATACATTTTGTAACTTTCAACCGATATTATTCGCTGCATGCACTTAATTTCACTTTATTTTAAACAGGTTGTTTGGTAATGATACCAATAAATGTGCTTTTAAAATGCACAATTAACGAAAGAATAAGCAACTCTTATGAAATTAACATATTGACCTTGATGGCATCAGGATTGCATGCACTAATTATTAAAGTATCTTTACTGCCTTTAACCTCATCAGTTGGAGGAATTTTAGGTGAATGCTGCATCTGAGAATGCACATTATCGGACTCAGGGAGGAAAGACAAGCGCGAGTGATCTAAAATAATCATCTCAAGTATTACATAGAGCATATTTTCAATATTCCTTCCTAATTAAATATTATAACTATGTTAGTAATTTGCACGCCAGAAACATTTCTTCTGAATATCAAAGCCAATCAAAAGTATAAAATACAATGAGATGATGGGTCAAAACATGCCTTCTCGTCCAGTTCGAATCTCAAACAAATCAATTACACTGCTGTCATAGAAAGATTTATTAATTTGCGGCAGAATGCGAATATAGTAGCGTGAATTTGGTTTTAATTGCTCAAGCACAACATAATTCTGCAAAAATTATAGTTTAAATCATATCCTTTTATGATTTCAATATCGATTTCGATTTAAACGTCACAACAGAACAGACGCGTAAGAGGAATAAATCTCAAATATTGTGCACCTGTCGGGCATCATCCAAGATAATACGCTTCCACTGCTCGATTGGTAAGGTACTGTTGTCTGTGTAAAAAACTGAAGAACCTAAAGTTCAAATAAATTAAGATCAAATAAATTTTTTTTTACTATTATTTTAGAAAGCAAGAAAAAATCTATAAATTAACGAGACTGTGAGAGAATTCAAACCCTCCCACCAGATCTTTGCTCCTCATATTTATTCTCCAAAACTCTCTATTCTTTTTATTTATTGTTCTTTCAACTAAAAGGTAGCAGATATTTAGATACTGCCTGCTCTAGTTAACCATTCAGTGACCTATTGACCAATTCCGTAATCTAAAAATACTTGACCTGTGACAGCATGTGAGATTGATGAAGGATATGTCCATGTGATTTGAACACGACCAGGAGAAAGCAATCGATATGATAAAGAATTTGCTTCACGACGTTCTAGAAATTCGGCGCGTTCTGCAAGAAAGAAAAATAATCAAATAGATAGACTATTCAGATTTCAATCCAATTTCTGAAAAACCAACAGATTCACTTTTAACTGGTCATTAAAACTGGAAGAAAATTGTCATAGAGAATAATAAAATGAAATTTTGAATAGGAAGTTCAGTTTACAAGTGATAAAAACTTAACATATCTCCTTAAGCTTTCACTCTTGAAATTATGATTTATTTATTTTCTATTTAATCTAAACATTAGTTCTTCAAATTACAACTATACATTAGACTCTGTAATAAAACAAAACTTGCAATGAATGCATGAGAACTTTAAGAAGTCAGTCCAAACTCACCCATAGTTTTAAAACGATACATGCTTGGCGCACGGATAATTTCACCATTCTTTTTGCGCACATTAATTCGCACATAATATATGTGTCCAGACTGCAGATCACGGAGCAAAAGTGAGTTGATTTCACTGGCAAGAGGAAGATCTGACATTTGAGGCATTAACACACGATAAAAGGACCACTGCGTATCCGGAAGATCAGGATTATCAGACACATAAATATCATAACCGGAAACGAGTTCAGCAGGTAGAAAACTGGAAAAAAATTCAACCAATTTTTCGAATGAGCAACATGATTAGCACGTTCTTGATAATTCAATACCTATATATTGAAAGAAATTCCAAAAAACAATTTGGAATCTTCTTGCTGGAAGTACCGTGTACTACGTAGAGCCATAATAGAAAATAACGTCAGAATTATGTCCTTTTTGTCAGGTATTTATACATTAAAACTTACTTTTCTAACTCCCATTGAAGCCGAACAGTATGAATTTCATGTGTATAAATCACATCTACTTTTTGAATCGGATTTGGTATTACTAAAAAAAATACTAGACGGATAAAAATAACGAAGAGAGTAACATAATTCTTGTTTTGAATCATTTTGAATTCTTGAAGTATTTTCATACAAATTTTAGTCGCATTAGTAAGAATCACTAATAAGTATTCTTCTACGATATTTTTTTAGAAACAATGAATAACTACAAGACGAATTTTTAAATGAATAAAATTTTTCCATTATAAACTAAATATGCTGTTAAGAAATAAAAAGCAACAAAAGAAACAAGTTTTACCAGCTGGAGTCCGAAATCTAAATTGGCCACTTTCGGTTGTAAGATCATTGTTAAGTTTCGTTCGAATTTTCAATAAATAGTCTGTATCACTGAAATTTGGAAAAGAACACAGTCATGTGAGTCTTTAACTAGCAATGACTTCTTTAATTAGAATTTTTTATCTTAAGAATGACATGAGAAGGAAATTCCAATTCCATAGAAAAATTCAAGGAGGAAGGTAAGAATTAGCGCAGTATTCAAAATAGCTCAGCTGATAACAGAAAAAAGATACAGAAATAGCTAATGAAGATTTTATGAATAAATGAATTACTATCAGAATTACTTGGAACAAAATCAATTATTTAAAACACTTCTTATTCAAAGTTTTAAAAATTAATTAGAAAACCTTTTTAAGGTGGTTAAGCTTGCAGACGGACGCGAGCCACTGAAATGCAACTGATGCCAATTTCCTGTGCCGACTTCCATATACTGGACATCGTATGCTATAAAAGAATACATTCTCATAAAATTGTACTCAAAATTAAAGCAACAAGCCAATACGAGCTAAATGTGAAGAACAATAAACTTACCTTTAATCTTCTGCAGAATCTTTTCTGGAACTTCCCATGTCAAATTTACAATACCTTGTCCATTTCCTTTGAAATGAGAGCTAATAATCAAATTTCCCACTTCGAAATACTCATCTTCTAAATGCATTTTCAAACTCATTTTTCAGACTAACACAATAAAATCAGCAAATGATGAGAAGATAAATCAGTAAACACCTTTAGGCATGGTAATTTCTACAATTGCTGCTGTGTTCGAAATACGTTCCGGACTTGAAGCTGTTCTAATGGTCAATTCATATCTTTCTCCTGGTTTTAGACTATCCAATGTAAAACTATTCCCCTGAACTTTAATCTGCAAATAGAGATAATCCATTATTAGTGAGAAAACAACTCTTGTTTATGCTGCGCTAATACGTTTTAGAACTGATCTTCAAATACAATATTATTTCAGCACCTTATGAATGTATTATAAATACTTTAATTTAAACATCAGTAATCACGATGTATGACATAAAAAATTTCAAAAAAGCAAATCATGAATACGATATTAAAAAATAACAATAACACACAAATAAAAATAACCTGTTGTCGAAGCAGAGGAGTATTATCTTCCGATGTTAGCTGCTTCACATTAACAATATAGAAAGGAATGACTGAAATTTCAAGAGAAAATTTTTCATGACAGCAGTTGAAATTTTTCTTTTCACTACTTATATTAGTTAATATTTTCTATAACTGCTACTCAAAAAATTTGCGCTTTCGTGCTCATCATTTAAAAAACATATATCAATAATTTCCAAATCCACCATCAATTTCTAATCTAAAAATCATATTAAACCAACTTACACATATATGAACATATGACTTACCATTTGACAATGGTTGAAGAGCTGGAATCCATTCCAAGCGTACCATTGATGTGCTCAATATATGGGCTTGAAAATCAAGTGGAGGTAACAAGTCATCATCTGCTACCGGAATTCCATCAATCAATACACGTTTTGTGATAGCAATTAGTAGAGAGTGCGACCAGTCTTCTAAAATAGTACCATCAGGATGCTCAGCACGAATCTGAAACATCCAGTAGTAGCAGACGGTTCATCAAAAAATATTTTATATCAACATACAACTCAAAAGTCATGCATAAATAACTTTTGTTTCTGCAGTATATTTGTCGATCTCAGTTACAAAACAATTAATAGTCATTGAAACTTTATGCATCACGAAATCATGTTTTATATACTTTTTTCTTATCCTACAATATACTAGGCGCTTTGTGCTCGTACTGCTATATACACTAATAAGACCCACCTGTGCTTGAAGTTCATCACCATTTCGAATGTCATCTAATTTTAATTGCACTTCTAATTTGGTCCCGCTTCGTACATGATTCCAATGTGTGGAACCATCACGGCGATTAGTGATCCGATAACGAACCAGAAATTGTGGATGCACTGAAGACATTAAGAAGGTAACAATTTATGGAATATTACGCCAATTTTGCCGACGAAAACGATTGATACTAGTAAGTATTCAAATTTTAAACTATGCCCAATACATGCAGTATCCAGGGATATTTTTCATGATTTTATCACAACTTTGCTGAATATTTAAATAACTTGACGTATTTTAATTTGAAAAATGTTTGTAAAGAAGGTTCTAGTAGATACAAAACAAGGTTTCGTACGATTGAAATATAGATTATGTGATGTCAAACTATAGCCAAATATTATTGGGTTAATTAGCTTATATAAGTATGCATTTAGATTTTTTTTTTTAAATCTCGATTCACTCACAGCAGCATCGTCGCCTTAAAAGATAATTGGAGTAAGAACCAAGAATATGCACAACCATCAATTACTTATAATTCATACGCAAAAAAATAGTATAATAGCCACCAACCATCGTTCAGAATATCTTCTGGGTACTTCCACTGAAGGTAGATTGCGTCTGTTGAATGATCATATCGAGCAGTTATGTCTTGCACATGCGACGTAGATGATGTTTCACTTACTGGTAATGCTTGTAAGCTCAGTATTTTATGTTCGTACACAATTAAGAGAAAAAAATAGTAAAGTAAAGGAGAGAAGCAAGTAAGCATAGATTACTTACTCTAACTTCCCTTACAAAAACAATTAATAACTATATCGCTGTTGTCTGTTTTTAGTTTACTTCCTTAGCCAAGAAATCAAACTTCTGGGATAGATTCCCGAGTATGCAGGAAAAGCAGTAAGTGTGGCAATAGTAAAATGACTAGCCGGAGGGAAAATTGGCTTTGCAAAGAGACAATTGACAATGTAAATGAATTGTTTCACTGATAAGAGGGCAACCAATTTATAGTCGAGGGCAAACAGAAATGACTGGAAGTACAAAAATTCGACTTTACCCCTTCTGCATTCCTGTATATGGGATAGAGTGATGTCTACTTCTAACCATCTTTTGCATGTTATCAATGTAACGTATTTCCATCATGAAACAAAAGACACAAAAAAATCATGCTTTAAACAATTCTTGATGAAAAGACTTTTCATACATGCCAGTTAGTACTAGAGTGCAATTTTAAATTGTGGTCAAAATTTAATTTCTTTGATCATTTACGAACCAGTACGAAAAGCAAAGCAGTAATAAATTAGTCATAAATAAATATATCAAACAGCTGGCTATAAAAACACCCTAAAAAAACCTCTTGTACTTGACAACGAGTAAGCATGTTGCTTATTCAGCTTCAAATACAAGCAAATACTGACCATTTATTTTAAAAAACTTACAAATGATAATAAATAATGAGCGAAGTTGTATATTGGTGACACAAATAGTATGCTCTTTAAGAACGCAAGAGGTAGCGCATTAATTATTTTTGTAAGCATAGAAGTTCTTGTAATTTTCCTGACAAAATGCAGTGGAAACCAACTAGATATGGCAATAAACAATAAGATGAAACGGAAAGAGAGAGTAATAAATGTGACAAAGTCCCACTTAACAGTCAACCAACTAAACTCTTTCAATAATTACTAAATACGAAAATTAACAGATTCGAATCAAAAGTTATTAGGAAAAAAAGAACAGTTTCATGAAACAAAGCCATTAGAGACCCGTTGAAGTCCACTGAAAACAATTTTCTCAGTTTTAAAAATCACGTAAGGCACTATTAGAACTATTTTACGGAAAAAAGTTCAAGAAATAGCCTAAAAAATGAGAGCCAAACGGAAAACAAAACTAATAATTACTTAAGTCAGAAATGTTCGTTATAATCACTCTTGCAAATTCCTTGATACCACAAGAAATTAAATTAAAAATTGAGCTCATTATAAACTTTGAGTGAAGAAATTAAGTATCTGACACATTTCATACTCAAGAATGATTACAAACATTAGACAAAAAATATTTCAATATCCCAAACATCACTGAGCACCTGCATTAATAAAATCGCTTCCGCGTCATTTGCTGCCGATGATTGACAAAAATAACACCGAACCATAACACCAATACGCACAACGTGATGCCCAAAATCATTAATACTACAGTACCAAACCAGCCTAATTTAGATGGTTTTGGTTGATCAACATGATCACGTGGAGATGCAACATTCTGTGCATAAGGTTCACGGTAGCGAGGATCTGCTGTGACACCATCCCCTGCTTCTGCATATACATAATCCTGTTCAAACATTTTCACCGATATGACATCATGAAAGTCTGGAAAAGCATCATAATCAACCAAAATCAAGCAGAAATATCAGAAGCTGTCATAAAGTTGAACAAATTTCCATGATTATTAAAAATTATTATTAAAACGTTTTTAAATAACTATGACTCAAAGATAAAAAGCAATGAGGAGCATATAGCAGACGCACCGGACAAATCGCCTGTAGCAGCAGTGATACCAAAGTAATAGCCAGTAGGTAACTGCACATCTCTAACAATCATGCATTCCTTCCATTCACTGGTATCCAAGATATCAGTATATATCTGCAGAATAGCATTGTTGGACATTTACTTCAATAAACAGAATATAAGAACTGCAGGGAAAAAAATTATGAACAAGCTTTAATTGAAAAATTCGTCATTTAAATGATGCAACTTTTTTTTTTCCAATTTTTTTTCGATTGGTTTTCGTGACAACTCACTATAAAAATATTTCGAATTTTGAAGTAATCAACTGCTTTAATAATGGCAGAATTAATTCGTTCTGTCACTTGGTTTCAGCGTACTTTCTGCTTGGTTTCAAGCATTTCATCGGTACTGTTCAAAAATTGTACATTTAATATGCTCCATGCCTTTAAAGAAAATAGTATGTTGAAGATGTCAAAAATAAGAACAAACCGACAGCACATCATTCACATATCGAACCATTATTTGAGTTTGATACAGCTTATTCCTAAACTTTGCTTCACAACCTGTATGTGCACCACCTAGCTGAGTATGAGTACCATCCATATCATGATCATAATGCAACGAACCATTATTGACCATCGCTGATATGTATGGATGACCATGCTGAAATATGTTTCTTCCGAATATAACATTAAAATCAGTCAAAAAACTATTCATACAAGTTACGGGAAAAAAATTACCCCATGAGGCCCATTATGATTGCTGTAAGTGTCAAGGAATATCCCCAACCCACGGAAATAATCTTTTGATCCGAAAACAGTTCCTGTCTTTAAGGGCTCTTGTACATACCATAGAGCTGCTCCATCACCAAACAAATCACCTGTAGATCCATGGATTGCAAAAGTAACTTGTAACTCCCAATTTCGCGCAGTTACTGGCTGAAATATCATAATAAATAGGAAGAAAACGTAGTATAGAAACATGTCTTATTAGGTTCACACGACAATATATTGGAGTCTTTTGCACTTCTTAATAAGAAATACACCACAATTCTGAAAATATGAACCTGACATGACATGTTTCTTACAATAAGCCCACATTATAAAACACTAATTACTAATTCTCTATCACTTCTGTCATAAATATGCCTTTAACTACACCCAACTATTTAAAAAGTTATTCAATTAAACTAAACATGAGTTTTTTCGTCTATTGCTTTGGTCCACGAGTTCATTCACAAATAAACAAATTGCAAAAATGAAATGAATGAAATACAAATAAGGAAAAACAAAGACTTTTTTGTATAAAAAGTAAATAAGTGCAAAGAAGACTTAGTGTTCCATTCAATCAATATAGACCAATAATGGTAAGATTTTTTGGAAATGACTTTAATTTTTGACTTACTCACTTTTAGTTCATTTACCTAATTGAAGTTCAATGCATTTACTCTATTAATTACGATAAATAGATTATGCATACTTGGGCGTATTCGGTATATGCAATAAATGAAATACGAAATAAGACAATACTTCAACTTACCACAGCATTCCAAATACCACCTTGAGCACTCTGTGTATCTGCTGTGAGTCGGATATATTGTCCGGTAACCACAGTGTTACCTTGTAAGTTCCAATATGGGATACCCACACCCGTGCCTTAAACTACGAATTTTACGTTTTAAGGGAAACTGTCTTAAAAACATATATATATATATATATATATATATA